TGCCTGGCATATGATGTAGTAACGGGCTATGCATTCTTACATACTCTTGTGGTTAATTTGCTTATTAAGGATATTTTACAAATCATTCCTGTTTGTAACTGAACCCTTTTTCATTGTTACTATGTGAATTGTCAATATTTATTGAGATATTTCCACAACCCCATCGATTTTATTATTGGAGATGTTTCTATTTATTTACTTACTAACCTGAATTGTGACATTCATATTGTGACATTTTGATATGTTGTGACAAATAAATAAAAGCTACCTACTCCTTAGTTTCTTTATCTTTATCCAAACCTCTGAAACACTCAATATAGAAAGTGCTGTGGTATCCAGGACTTAGTCGGACTTTCAAAGATCTATGAAAGAATCTAAAACTAACTGGCCAATTTAATCCTCTGCTGTAAATGTTACCTGTGTATGTGTACAGAATATTAGAGTGAATATAATTGTCACTGGAAGACCATAGCATGTAAACAAAGAACTTGCATGAATATTATTCAAAAAATGGAGTTCAAAGATTTTACAAAAGACACACAAACGAAGAGCACCTTTTTAATTTGATACTAATTTAGAGTTAGATACAGTAGAGGAAAACAATGAAACTGCATGATACACCTTAAACATGGCATTATTGAAGGTCAGGAAATATGTTTAAACATAACATTGATACAACCACAAGGTGTACAATAAATCCCATTGTTTAATTTTTTTTCTTTTTCTTTAAATGTTGGATCTTTTCCCATCTTTTTTTTTTTTTTATGCTTCCTTTTGTATCCAGAGCATAACTTTGTCTACAGTGAAGCAAGGATCCTGATACTTAGTGTATACATTGGCCATAATAAGGGGATGTGCAGAGTATGAAATTAAGGGTCCTTGACCACTTCATTACAGAGTTATTGCCCTTTGTAAATATTCCAATCCGAAGCATTACTTTCATTGCATTTATACTAGGTTAACAAAACTTTGTGTATATATTGATCATATTTGGATATTGTGTCTAGAGCATTTAAACGAGGATAATTAATCTTGGTGGATACATTGATCATACTAAAACAACGTGCACTGTACCAAATTGAGGGTCTTTGACTCATCAGTTACAGAGTTATTGCCCTTTGTTAGAATTTTGTTTTCAATAAAGTCGTTGTCAGGTAGCATTCAATGATACTTTTATTTCCTCTTCACTACCAGATTCTGAAAATTCCTCTCCAGAAATAGTGATAATCTTTATTTTGCTATTTTGCTCTTATGATCAGTTTCAATATCAAAAGGGCATAACTAGGGGAAAACAAAGTTTGACAAAGATCCATTTAGTATTTCTCAAGAAATGGAAAAAAAAAATTTCATTGTTAAAGTTCAGAATGGCCACCTGTCAGCATAGCATGTTTTTCTGAACAGTCCCAAAATAAAAAATAACAATGAGGAACCAACATATGGATTTATGAAAGATTTGGATCTTTCAAGAAACAGAAATAAGAATTTTTTTTAAACAGACCACTAATATAGGTGATTTGAATAGCCCAAAATATTTTTTAGAAAATCATGTATGTTTCGGGCATATTTCCATATCATTTATGTATGTTTGGGGCATATTTCCATATCATTTATGTATGTTTAAGGCATATTTCCATATCATTTATGTATGTTTGGGGCATATTTCCATATCATTTATGTATGTTTGGGGCATATTTCCATATCATTTATGTATGTTTGGGGCATATTTCCATATCATTTATGTATGTTTAAGGCATATTTCCATATCATTTATGTATGTTTTAGGGCATATTTCCATATCATTTATGTATGTTTGGGGCATATTTCCATATCATTTATGTATGTTTGGGGCATATTTCCATATCATTTATGTATGTTTAAGGCATATTTCCATATCATTTATGTATGTTTGGGTCATATTTCCATATCATTTATGTATGTTTGGGGCATATTTCCATATCATTTATGTATGTTTTAGGGCATATTTCCATATCATTTATGTATGTTTGGGGCATATTTCCATATCATTTATGTATGTTTGGGGCATATTTCCATATCATTTATGTATGTTTAAGGCATATTTCCATATCATTTATGTACGTTTTAGGGCATATTTCCATATCATTTATGTATGTTTTAGGGCATATTTCCATATCATTTATGTATGTTTTAGGGCATATTTCCATATCATCTATGTATGTTTTAGGGCATATTTCCATATCATCTATATATGTTTTAGGGCATATTTCCATATCATTTATGTATGTTTGGGGCATATTTCCATATCATCTATGTATGTTTTAGGGCATATTTCCATATCATCTATGTATGTTTTAGGGCATATTTCCATATCATTTATGTATGTTTGGGGCATATTTCCATATCATTTATGTATGTTTAAGGCATATTTCCATATCATTTATGTATGTTTGGGGCATATTTCCATATCATTTATGTATGTTTTAGGGCATATTTCCATATCATTTATGTATGTTTTAGGGCATATTTCCATATCATTTATGTATGTTTGGGGCATATTTCCATATCATTTATGTATGTTTGGGGCATATTTCCATATCATTTATGTATGTTTTAGGGCATATTTCCATATCATTTATGTATGTTTGGGGCATATTTCCATATCATTTATGTATGTTTGGGGCATATTTCCATATCATTTATGTATGTTTTAGGGCATATTTCCATATCATTTATGTATGTTTAAGGCATATTTCCATATCATTTATGTATGTTTGGGGCATATTTCCATATCATTTATGTATGTTTTAGGGCATATTTCCATATCATTTATGTATGTTTTAGGGCATATTTCCATATCATTTATGTATGTTTGGGGCATATTTCCATATCATTTATGTATGTTTGGGGCATATTTCCATATCATTTATGTATGTTTAGGGCATATTTCCATATCATTTATGTATGTTTGGGGCATATTTCCATATCATTTATGTATGTTTGGGGCATATTTCCATATCATTTATGTATGTTTAGGGCATATTTCCATATCATTTATGTATGTTTGGGGCATATTTCCATATCATTTATGTATGTTTAAGGCATATTTCCATATCATTTATGTATGTTTTAGGGCATATTTCCATATCATCTATATATGTTTTAGGGCATATTTCCATATCATTTATGTATGTTTGGGGCATATTTCCATATCATTTATGTATGTTTGGGGCATATTTCCATATCATTTATGTATGTTTAGGGCATATTTCCATATCATTTATGTATGTTTGGGGCATATTTCCATATCATTTATGTATGTTTAGGGCATATTTCCATATCATTTATGTATGTTTGGGGCATATTTCCATATCATTTATGTATGTTTAGGGCATATTTCCATATCATCTATATATGTTTTAGGGCATATTTCCATATCATTTATGTATGTTTAGGGCATATTTCCATATCATTTATGTATGTTTTAGGGCATATTTCCATATCATCTATATATGTTTTAGGGCATATTTCCATATCATTTATGTACGTTTTAGGGCATATTTCCATAATATCATTTATGTATGTTTAAGAGCATAATCTATATAATTTTTTACCCTATGGTTGTATCGTTGTTGTCCGAGGTCATAATGAAATATCAGGCTGTGGCTACCCCAAGGCAAGGTAAATGTTAACCTATAATTTGCCTTAGGTTAATGTCAGCCCGTGAAAAACCACACGTCAAAGCACAACTAGCTTCAGGTTAATACATTTCATTGATTTTAGACATCTAGTAGTAAAGCTACACAGAAACTACTACAGAAAGGAAGTGGGTTGCCTCAGGAAGTTGTTCTGTTCTGAACTCAATAACCCCACAAGAAAATTGGTAGACAAAAATACATCAAATACAGGGGAAATATCCCAGTTCAGATCTGAAAATGGATAACTTGATGCTATAGAAATGATATTATCAATGTTCCCTACCTCCTCTGTGTATACTTATTATCAATGTTCCCTCCCAGCACTATGTATACTTATTATCAATGTTCCCTACCTGCTCTGTATACTTATTATCAATGTTCCCAACCTGCTCCGTGTATACTTATTATCAATGTCCCCTACCTCCTCTGTGTATACTTGTTATCAATGATCCCTCCCAGCTCTTTGTATACTTATTATCAATGTTCCCTACCTCCTCTGTGTATACTTATTATCAATGTTCCATCCCAGCTCTGTGTATACTTATTATCAATGTTCCCTACCTCCTCTGTGTTTATGTATTATCAGTGTTCCCTACCTCCTCTGTGTATACTTATTATCAATGTTCCCTACCTCCTCTGTGTATACTTATTAACAATGTTCCCTACCTCCTCTATGTATACTTATTATCAATGTTCCCTCCCAGCTCTATGTATACTTATTATCAATGTTCCCTACCTGCTCTGTATACTTATTATCAATGTTCCCAACCTGCTCTGTGTATACTTATTATCAATGTCCCCTACCTCCTCTGTGTATACTTGTCTAAAGTGAACACTGCACAAAGTGTATTGTAAGGCATTCCTTTGCAAAAGGTTAATTTGCCCAGCCGTTGTCAATGCACCATCACTATGGCCGTCACCATTAGTAGGCTATAATTATTGAGTCAAAGTAGTGGTATTTGTATGTCAATGTTCAGGTTTATATGAACCAGTCAGAATGAACGTCACTTGTGTGACCATCATGACATCCTTACAGCTAAAAGACTGATTTCGGTCGAAATGGCCACCCCATTAAAATATCAAAATTTACAATTGAACACAAAGTTTAATTGAATATGAATGTACCGAGTACATCAAGAAGTTTTGGAAGCGTGAACATAACCCTTAGGTTATTTATAGTTGGTATACACGACAACAGGCTAAGTTTTGTTGGAAAATGTACCATATTGTCAATGGGCATTTACTTACAAAGCTCTGGTCATTTAAAAGGACTACAAAGCTGCATCAAGATGGCTCAATATTAAAGGACAAGTCAGGAGAAAGAAGTGTGGTTTGTACAACAATTTTTAATACATCTATAGTTTGAATCTTTTTCACATGTCACATAACTCACAGGTTGGCAGGTGTTGTATGCCCAGAACATTGTTCTTTTCCATCTTGGATTCGACCAGCACATGTTGTGTTTTACTGGCACGCTGTACATTGTTTTTGTCGGGAAAAAAAAAAATTGACACAAACCAATTGATCAGTATTTCACAGTTGAGTAAGCACAGATAAGTGTTAATTTGATGTAGGCAGTCGGAAAATGTTGTAATTTGTGTGCGCTGCAGCAAAGTGCCAACAAGTTCACTGTAGAGAAAAGAGACTATAAATAAAACACTGAACAACTGTTGACCACTTGACCACACCAACAATTTGCACCTGTCAAGTTTCAATAAGTTTATACAAAAAAAAAAAAAATATCACGAGAACAAAACGTTTATATATATAAAAAAAAAAAATTCTTTGTCCAGGCACCAAACTGTCCTAGCACTACTAAAATAATTTAATGTCTGAGAAAAACACTATTAATATTGATAGTGTTCAATAACTATAAAAATGTGTACTCCAGTAATTACAAATAATCAATAGGATTAACCACAAAGGGTCTTTAACAATGTCCTCAGTATATCTATGATATCATAAAACTTGGCTGTCCTTCAAAAAGGTACGCACTAGTCTTATCATATAATGTCAAGATTTCTTCATGAGAAATCCAAAATGTTCATTTTCCGGGCACAAAATATGTTGTAGTATACAATGTCCAATAGACAATATTCCACGTTGAGTGTACACCTGATTGCGATATACACATTGATGAGATGCTGTATCTCCACTCGACTCCAACCACGATTGCAATATCTAGATCAAATCTGCTACATTCATTGGCATTTCCTCAATATTTGTATTGTAAAATTGTTCAATGTCCTTCAGGGGACGTTTATCCTCTGATGTGATGAAGTTAATTGCAACTCCTTTACGACCAAATCGTCCACCACGACCAATTCTGAAATCACAAAAGGAAATAGTAATCATCTTGATGAAACATTATTTTCTTCACCCTGTTTAAACTGCTTCTTGATAGATTTTGAAGAGTCAATGAATGTAAATTCTATGAATGAAAGCACTCCAACTATGTTAGAGGTTCACACAACGAGAAACTTAGGACAGATGCCTTGTAACCTCTAACTTCTCTAAGGCGACTTACCCAATACTGTCAGTTCAGAAGCTCTGCTTTTTGAATACATTTAACATTTTAACATAAATTTTAACTTTCAGTATGTGAATTGTTTTATTTCTTTCTGAAAATCCAGGACAAATCAAATTTTTCCAGGCAAAACATGGATCAATTATTTTTTCTGTTTCCAATATGAAGTAGACGAACCATCAGCACTCTCCACTATCGTGATACAAAGTTTCTTAATGATAAAAAAAAACCCAAACAAACCAGTTTGCATATGGTAAACAAACTGGAATTGCTCTCCATTTTGTCATTTGCATTTGTTACAAATAATGGGTACATTCATATTTTGAACTGACCAAAACCATAATGTTTATAAACTAAAATATAAGACTTGAACATTAAATCAGATAATGCCTATAAACTGTAAGTACACAAGGGATGAACATCAAAGAAACAATGCTTGGGGAATGAGAGGTCACAGTCCACACAATAACGTCAGACAAAAGCAACATAATGCAGGCAACTTTGACAAAACTTTTTTTCAAATACACTGTACTGTCATCATTTGTTTTTTTTAAAGGATTAAAAATTCAAAACACAACACCTGACAATGAAACTCAATTCTTGATTCTGCTTAATAACTGAATGTCATCCTCACTAGCCAATAGAAAAGCAACACCCTGTAATATAAATCAGTGCAATAGCCAATCTTTTCAAACCAAGACAATATCATATTAAATACATTACCTGTGGATGTAGTTTTCCCTGTTAGCCGGAAGATCATAATTGATGACGAGAGATACCTGCTGAACATCAATACCTCGAGCCAAAAGATCTGTGGTGATGAGAACACGACTAGAACCAGTACGGAACTCTCTCATAATCACGTCACGTTCCTTTTGATCCATCTCTCCATGCTAAAATCAAAGTTTCATATATTACATACTGTGAGGACCTACACAAACAAAATTCTCAGCAGGATTCCTGAAAAAATTGAACAAAATTAAGTGGGCATTGTTGAAATTTTACTCAATCTGTCCTTGAAAACAAAGATGTCAAGATACTGATCTCTACATATAATAGCCTCATCTATGAAAGGGGAAAGTTTTAAAACTTCCCTCATACTTTTTGAATGACCTACCATGGATGAAACGGTGAAGTCTCTGTGCAACATCTTCTCAGTCAGCCAGTCGACCTTCCTTCTTGTGTTACAGAAGATGACAGCTTGCGTGATTGTCAAAGTTTCATACAAATCACAGAGGGTATCCAGTTTCCATTCCTGCCAAACCAAGGTACCGTTTTAACTAATAAGCCAGAAGAATCTCCTACTATATACATTTGCTTTGTATTTCAAGTCATCCAATACAAAATTGATACAAATACAAAATCCCAACTTTGAACACAGATCTTGTTAAAGTAATTACCTACAGGTTCTTTTAATGAGTGTAAGCAGATACTCTGAATATTATGAGTGGAAAATAAACAGATACTCTGAAAATAAATTAGCTAGGAAATATTTTGCAGCTGATTTCATGAAATTAACTCAATTTCAAAACCGTAAATGATTGAAAATCAGGCAGTCAACACTTTTAACAGAACATATAGGTTATTATCTGTGCATTCTCTCTATTACATGAAACTGAATGTTAGGCACCAGTTGAGACTTGTGACTAGTCTTTGTACTAACAAGCCTCACATAATGGTACAATTTTGATTTCCTTCCATCGGACGACCAGAGCCCATACACTATATTATAGCCTGGTACACATTTGGAAGTGTACAAAAAACAATATTTGGATTAAATATGAATTTTTAAACCATTTTTCCTAATCATGAACAATCAAAGAGAAATGGCACCTTATTGTAAGTTTTTCTATTGATGTTTTAACAGCCACATGTCAGTTTATACACAATCTAAATTCTAATAATTCTATAAGATGGCTTACTACACAGGGAAGGATGCAGCATACACATCACATATCCTAATTGGGTTATATACCTCCACAAGTACATTATTTAAGATTTTCCTAAAAAATAAATGTGTCCCTCAAGATCTTCTACACTGAATTCATATATTCATACAAATGAATGATTTCTAAATTTATGCAAGTATTTTTTTTTAACCATAAATATATCTTTCTTTGAAAATACAACTAAATGCCTTGTCACTTATGTCAGGTACCAATTTGAGATTTGTGACACTTGGAAGTCAACACGCCTCACCCAAATAGTACAATTTTTTATCTCCTTCCACTTGACGGCCAGAGTCTACACAAACATGAAGGTCTGGTGCTTTTGGGAAGTTATAAAAATCATGTTTGGACCTAACAATACTTTATTATTTTCGGCACATTAAATTGTCATAGATATTGATACTACAAACCAGAAATCTTTCAACTGAATATTCAGGTGTCACTCATAGTTTTACTAAAATGTACTTTTTATGCCTTTTATATTTTTACTAAAATTGCAACTTTCCACCTACCACAAAAAAAGCTCTCATTATGCATATTTTTGAAACAGAATAAAAAAATAGTTATGGTTCAAGTAAAATTATTAATACACACGATGTATTTGATACAAATAACTATTTTCTGCTATTTTCATTCATCTAATTGTAATACAAAAGAAACAAAGATTTGAGCTATAATTTACCTCTTTTTCCACATTTACATAAAACTGTTTAATACCATCAAGGGTAAGTTCATCTTTCTTCACCAAGATGCGGACAGGGTCTCGCATGAATTTGGTGGTAACTTCCAAAACCTCAGCAGGCATTGTAGCAGACAACAGGATGACCTGTAACACAAAAGTCATGATGTTATGCATTTCATTAATACTATAAACTAGTGCAAAAAATATGAATCAAAGATAATTGAAATTAATATTTGAAGGCAGTTAGCAATTTGATAATTTCATATGCATCAGATAAATCTATCTGTTGTAAGTGAAGTTATCTTAATTCTTAATATTATCAAGAATTACATTTGTATAATTAGCCCACTAATGTGTCTGGGTGAGAGGAATCAAGATATTCAATTTCTCTTCTTACCTACAAAATTCTTACACTTGAATAAAACAAAATTTAAGGTTACATTGTTACATTTACTGAAACACTAACAGCTCAGCAAATGTCAATCTATGTGGCTAGAAACACCCCTGCCCATACTAACAAATTCATTCAACAATTTATTTATAGTAACGGTGACTTTGTATTTTGATGATCAAAACTATAAAACAATTTCAAGCAAACACTTTCAGTAAGGAAGTACTGGACATATTTTGGGTTAGATTGGCCTCAGGAAACTCTAGTTTTCACATGTGAACTGGTTTATAGTAAAAAGCAACCTCATCCAAGCTCTTTCAATAAAGACGGATAGGTAGCATGAATACTATAAGGCACCAACACTTCCTTGTGGGGCCCTAATAAAGAAAGTATTGTCAGGTACCAATTTGAGATTTGTGACACTTGAAGTCAACACGCCTCACCCAAATAGTACAAATTTTTATCTCCTTCCACTTGACGGCCAGAGTCTACACACAACTTTAAGGTCTGGTGCTTTTAGGAAGTTACATAAAAAAACAAATATACCCTGTGTTTATATTTCTGATCCACCAGTCATCTTACCTGTATAGATTCTTTCAAGAATCTGAAAATGTCGTAGATCTGATCTTTGAACCCTCTTGACAACATCTCATCTGCCTCATCCAGGATGAACAGATCAATAGTTGAAGGGTCTGTTAAATTACATAAAAATATGTCATATTTTTTACTTATAAGTTTTCTTCTTAATACTATAGCATTTCTGCTCAACATGTTACCAAATGATTTTTTCCCCATGCTAAATCTAAGAAAACCTTGCGGATAAAACAAATCAAGTCAACATGGACTTTTACTGGAGACAACACTTTGTTTAGAAATAGTCCACCAGATGAAAAACCTGTCACAAACCAAATGTGGATAAAACTGAATATTCTACAACATTTAAAGGACTCACCTAGAGCTTTGCGCTGGATCATATCATAGACACGGCCTGGTGTACCCACAATAATTTGTACACCAGCCTTCAGCTTGGCTACATCTGCCTGAACATTTGTACCGCCAATACAGGCATGACAAGAGGCATTCATGTAGTCTCCCAGGGCAACCACCACTTTCTGGATCTACATACAAAAAAAATATTAACCATCTTTAAATCTATGTAAAAATGTGTATAAACATATACGGAGAAGAACCAATTCTGTATATCACATACTTTCCTCACACATTAGGGATGCTTAAAGCGACCGTCTGGACAATAAAGGTTGAAATTCTTGTACCTCTTCATCCATTAATTCAACAGCTATCATCAGGTAATTGTTCTTTATTTCAATAGTTACAACTTAATCGCATCAGATAATTTACCTTACTACTTCTTGTACTGTAGATACTGAATACACTAACTACCTTTAAATTTAACTTCAGTGAAACCTGATTATTATATTCTAACTTCCAGATAAATATATAATAACTGAGCAGGCTATTCATGTTGCAAGAAACAAAGGTTGGACTACTATATTAGTGAAACCTATTAATAAAAAAACAGGAAATGCAATGAAATACTGTCAGATAATTTTGTAATCACTAAAATCGGCCCAAGTTATCATTTTTATCAATGCCAACAGGCATATATCTAATCGTAGTGAATACATTCTTATCAGAAGAAAGATAATTTCAACTTTCACTTTTGATTAGTTTTCCAAGAACTGAGTTGAAGTGAAGAGTAGATAGACTGTTATGAAATATTCAGTTAGGTATACACATGAAATTAACATTCATATCAAACAAAATCATTTCTAATTTCACTTTTGGTTTGTTTCTAAGAACTAAAGTAGAGAATGCAATATTCAGTAAAGTACACATGAAATCAATCGTTATCATTTATGAATTATTATATGTCGGTTTATCATTTTACTGCATGGAAAGCCACCACGATCATATGAAAATCACAAGTCCTGTAAGGAGATAGCTTTTACAGCTTTTTACAAATAGATTTCAAAATACTCCCTCTGTAAGTGTCTTGATATGAATAAAAGCATTGCCTATCATAAGCAAGTCACTATGCAAATGTAAATATGACACCATGTTAATATAAACCTATTTCCAGTACCATGCACTTGCTGCTTGAACATAAGACTTAAAGCTAGATTTCTGGGAGACAATATTCATTGTATGATTGTCAAAAACACAACACTTGCTAGGTAGAGTTTTAATCTTAGAAACCATGCTTCTATTGAAATATTTAAATATTCACAGAAGTATGACCACACTAAACTAAAGTGATACAAAATGGCTGGTAGCAAAATTTTTGTAACAAGATTCAAGATTTTACTCTGCACTTATGAAATTCTTTCTTGTTCCAATTATTAAGGCCTCATTAGGGGTTTCATTTCTGTAATCAGTACTGAATTTGACAGTTTTGGTTGACCATGTCCACTATTATTAGTGAAAACCACTATTATGGGCAGAAATAATATCATAACTTACATTTCATGCAGGACCATATTACGTTTTTCTTAATCTATATCTATTCAATACATGGAAAGAACATCACTTTAAAAAAAATGTTCAAATATTGCCAAATCACTTTAAATAATCACGGATATCAAAAACAAAATGTTAGTGAAAGCGTAACAATGAGTGTTTTATTGATCTCAAATCTAGATTGAATTTTTTTCCCCTGCCTATTCATACCTGCTGTGCCAACTCTCTGGTTGGGGCCAAGACCAGAGCCTGGCAATATTTGCTGTTTACATCAAGTTTCTGTAGGATTGCTACCGAGAAGGTAGCAGTCTTTCCTGTACCAGACTGGGCCTGTGCAATCACATCGACACCTACATAAAAAAAAAAACTCCTTAGTACGTACAAACATAATGCAAAAAACTTGATATTGTCATAATGCAAATAACTGTTAAGGGATTAAAATTTTCCGGCCAATCATTTCAGACCTGCATTCCAATATTTATGTTTTTGTCTTATATTGCCTCATCACAACAGATATTTTGTATATCTATTTCTTTCAAACTCATAAGTCAACTTAATTACCAAGAACTTGTTAGAGATGTTTTATTTCCAGTACCCAACATGTTGTTCCAACTATTTCCATAAACTCAAAACTCACCATCAATGCAGGGCTTGATGGCTCTCTGCTGAATAGCAGAAGGCTTTTCAAAACCATAGGCATAAATTCCTCTGAGCAAGGGTTCATTCAGGTTCATATCATCAAAGCTTTCAATGACATCCACGACATAGTCCGAGTTTTCAGACTGCTGTAATGATAATCAGACAACAACAATTGAACTATTTCCAAATTACTGGGGTATTTATCCAAAAAAAAAAATATACAAGTTGGTGCTTCAGCTACTGTGTAACACAAAATGTGGGCATTTCCTTTCATAGTTTAAGCCTAATATAGCCTTTTGAGTGTAAATTTTTTTAGGTGTTCCATAACTTTAATAACCATTCTTTAAGATTACCTTTTTTATATTATTATTTGTTGCATTTTATTTCTGTTGTTTGTCTATACTCATGAAAACAATGGTTTTTACCATTTCCAAAAGTTTTATGAGTCCCATTATAAACAGATACAGTGGATCCTCATAGAACTCAATAGGAAAGTCACAAGTCCACGACTCAAAGATCATCCCAAAGATCACTTCTGTTATAGTTTCTTGGACAAACTGCTTCAGTCCATCAGTTGACAATTATATTTCAGCTTATTTAAACCACTTAAAAGTCTTAAATCCTATCACAATACGACCTAAGTTGATGGGGTTTTTTTTGGAAAAAGAAGAAATTTTTGCCTTACACACATTTTTAAGACAACTTGACCTAGAAACTTGCTTAAATAAAAAAATCCAGTAAAATAACTTTATTTAAATAAAAAAAAGCATGGTTTGCATATCAATTCCCCAACAACAAATATGTTTTGCAGTCATTAAATTACTAGTAACTTTAATAAGCTGTTATACCTGGACGATTGGCTGGATACATTCATCCTGATATTGTTCATCAGCCTCTTTTCGAGACCTGGAATGAAAAATACAAAATATTAATGGAATATCCAAAAGTATCATTTTAAAATATTTTTGAAGATTTCAAATTTTCTTAAATTGTTACTTCAACCCTTACAGAACATTTGATAAACATTTCAATGACAAAGCTAGAAGAACCCTTATTCATTATTCTCTTTTTTGAAGAGAATCAACCAAATGTAAAGACTAAGTTAATAACAAAAGATATAGACTACTTTCACAGCAGAGCTCTCGATCTGCCAGATTTGGTGCCGATATTTGGCCCCATTCCCAATGCAAAATAGTATCTTTTTTTCCCAATTTAGACCCCAAGTTTTCCCAATTATTAGGAAAACGCCAATTTTTTCCCCAATTCTAAGGGCCCCCGGCCCCTGTCCCAATACGGGGTGTGAGAGCCCTGCACAGTGACCTAACAATGCCACTTGGTGCAGTTCCAAGAAGATGTATTTGAATACTCTTTTGCTTATCGTCCTGTACATAATTAATGTTGACTTTTAAAGAAAGGTGAGTTTTCTTGAAGTAGCTAGTGGCTACATCACTGAACATCATCTTTTCCAGAGCAATTGGTGTGAAGTGTCTTGCCCTAGGACACAACTACAGAGGATGAGTGTGAACTCTTTTTATTGAAAAACACAAAAAGACCACTGTAGGGATGAAACCACACACATTATATAGTTGTAGTGCATTAGCCTGATGTTCTACCGAATGAGCTATTAGGATCATAGCCATGTTGACATGGATGTTGTACAAAGACATTCAAAGCAATAAATAAAAATCCTTGAATTATCAAATTTCCCACTAATATGTGTGAAAGAAAACTGCTTTTTTCACAATTTGCCAGTGTTACTTTACTAAGAAGTGAAATATTCTGACTGCATGACGAGGGTCGACCATGTCATATTTCAAACTTTTTGGTACCTAGTGCCAGAATTCTGTTCCATTTACAAATTATGTTCATTTATCATAGATATCCCATTTTAAATTATAACCAGAAATCATGAATGAACAGGCCTGAGGAATGTTAAATCATCAAAGAAACCCGCCAAATCCATATAAGGTAATATATGCAATATATCAATGAGGCAATAGCGGTTAGGAACTTGAAACCCATCCAGGTTCTATCATGCTCATTTAAAATGGCGATCATTCATTCTTCCGCCACGTGAAAAGCATGTATTCACCGACAAGTGACTATGTGATGAACGATGAACAATGAAAATGCCATCGTAAAATAACTACATTTCAGTTAGGATACACTACGAATTCAACAACAGATTGTGAAACATGTGTTGACTTGGGCTTATTTGAATTATTGTCAAAAAAATTGCGAAATTTTTGGCATTGCAGCAGATCGCAAATAAGGCCAAGACAAAGAGACAATATGTATAATATTGATCAGAAATACACTTTTCCCTATAATGGTAACTTATAGTTTGTCTGAAGAAACCATGATAGACCTCTATTAGGAATGATTTTCGCCGGAGATCGTCAGATTTTGGGGTATTTTTGTCGTAACCATATGGGTCACACGTGCTGCTCGGCGGCCATGACACCGGCTGATGAATCAACCTCATGAAAGCTATATTTTAAGCAAGTGTTATGTCGTTTGTCCCACAATTATACAACCACAAACGAAATTCAACATCTAATGTATCTATAGAAACACCTTTATCGTATTTTAACGCAGAAATGAGGACAAATTCTCTCACCTATTTTCATCCGATGAGTTATATGACATGTTCTCGCTGAAGTACCGCGAAGAAAGGAACGAACCGGTGATCTCACCGATGTTTGGCGGAGGAACATCCAATTAAACGTTTCACATCAAATATCAACGTCAAACATTTATTTTATTGAGGAAGTCGAAATAGTATAAACATCTGAGAAGAACGTTTTTTTATCGAATATTTATACTTATATGAAAACGATCGAGAACGCACTATATTACTGTTCATGTGCGCACGAATACTTCATGGATATTAGGGTTGGCCATTTTCGTCCAACACGTGACGTCAGAAAGTGGGCGGGGATATTTTTATATGATGAATATTTTGCGTATTTCATGAAATATATCCATATCGTTTTTTGAGTATGGATTATTTTCTATTGTTCCAAATAATTTCAGTTACTTCGTCTTCTGTCATACTCTGAATGATAATATGACATATATTGGAAATGTGTTTTAACTTAATATGTTGACGAAAAACAAATCTAAATAGTTAGTGAGATTGGAGAAAAGGAAATTATCCGTTTTCACTAACCTTTCGTTTTGCAGTTTGGTATTGCCATTCTGGTCCTCATCTGTCCAATCTGTTCCGTTAGAGGTGTTGGAATAGTCCTTCGAGGGGACATACTCCCGCAGAGTACTTCTTCCTTCGTCATCCTCCCAGAATTCGGGAGGGGGCTTTCGAAACTTTTTGTTTCGCCTCAAGATCGGTGGGCTATGCTCACCCTCCCCGCGCGATCCGTTACCTTTCCCCTGGCCCCGAAGAGATTGGGAGGTTTCTGTTCTTACTTCGACTTTTGAAAGGCTCATCAGACTTTCAGTACTCTAAAATTGGATGTATTTAATTATGATATTCGTTGTAGATTGAGGGTTGCGAGTTTCTCAAAACCTTATATACCATGATTTCGTCGTTATTTCGAAATACTTTATTTAACCTTTGAGTGTTGGCTCGGTGATACCTATATACGTTTAAAGTATTATACTAAATACAAGGCAAATTCGTTCATATAATCAACCAAGTTATTGCGAAATATCAGCAGTGTACTGTTGTTCTATAAATAAAACTGAGTAAGTATTTGGAAATACGTTGACTTTGACATAAAAGGGTAGTATTTATAACTGATTGTATTAGTCTAGTTCATACGAAAACTTATTACCTAAAGATTAGTGTTGACAAGCACAAGTGTTGACGAGAAATTTCTGAAAATAATTTTGAGGAATGATGATTATCTAAATACTCAAACCAGAGACGTATATATATATATATCGTGATATATACGTCTCTGCTCAAACTATTAGCTGACACAAAGATAATATTATTAGTCATCTTAATCGATTTTTTTGGTGACATGTAAAGGTGTCTTTTCCCTATAGACAGAACTATTTGGATAACTCTGAATACAAGGATTACATTACTAGTTGATAGTGTGTCATGTCATTTTATACATGATTCACGCCATAGTTAGATGGAATGGACGACGGAGGTCATTATGGCACAAGACATCGCAACCAAAACAAATTAAGACAGGGACATTAGACGATGATATATCTATTGCATTTATAGTCTGATAATATGAAAAAATATCTCTCTAGAAGTGCCACAGAATACAATATACTGAATTACGTCACACCACGTAACGTCACATGTTTTCTGTCGAAAAATCAATTGATAATAAATGCAATATATTAACTGAAGTGTCCTGTCAGGAGAGTAAGTTAGAGGACAGGTATGGAGACGAGGCTGGAGTCGAAAGCCAAACATCTGTAATACTGTAATCTGTATACATGTACACATGGACAATAAACACGGACTTGGGTACCCACTCCATTACATGACTGGTCATGACCGTGAAATATTAGTGTTGTCAGTTTGATTGTTTATGTAAATCCACCAAAACCCTACTTTCAATAAGGCTGTGCACATGCGAAACTAACTAATTTCATTGAATTTAAAACATAGAATGCTGAAATACTATCATATCTCTCATAGCTGAACCACACACGTGGCTTTTAACTAACCTTTACAGTGATAGGAATTATCTGTATCTACACACGAAATTTTAAAGCCATACAGCTTTGAAATTCAACTCAAAAACCATCTAACCATTTTCCGCTATTGCCCATAAAGTGGGTCGAGGGAGTACAGTAACCCGATATTACAGGCACGTTTTGCTTAGTTGGGGAAATTGAGAACTTATACCAGTGATACAGCACAGTGTGCCACGTCACGCACAAGTGTAAAAACGTTCTTTCTTACACTCGTGTATAGAAAAACATTTAAAGAAACGTGGATTTTTTTTTAACTTTTAAGGCTGCTCAGACTTGACGATGTGTGCACGTATATTACCATGTTTATCGGTCTCGGTAGTTGTAAGCATAATCTTTCATTTATAAAACTGAAAATAGCAACATGTTCACAGAACAATTCAACGACTCTGATCACACGACAAAACACATAATAATATAAGCAATGAAGACGTATATAATAATGAAAAAAAAATCTGCAGAGCACCAGCTGTCCCCGGAGCCAATTATGTCTGGAGATCGTTTTCAATATATGTTTTGAAAACACTTGTCACTTGCTAGTATGATTCCGACTTTTACTGAAATCTAAAAAAAAAACCACACAATACCGCGACGGAAAATAGATTGAGAACGCCTGTTAAGATTATTTAGGGAGCATATGTTGGCGGTACGTTTTAGACAGTTATAATTAGTTATATGCAACGCATATGAATTTAATAACTCCTATTTGTATAAAATCAATACACAACACATGAATGCTGTTTATTACGAAAGATAGGTATTCAGCGGAGCGCAAGGTAATAAAACCGGAATGCAAGTTTTACATGTTTATTTCCAGTTTCAAAGTCAAATCGGCGACAAGTTCTGATCTATATTAAAACCTTACATACTGCATACGATGTACATCACGTACTTGGCTGAAACTGTTGTACTATATATATATATCTACGGGTTGATTTCGAAATAAGCTCAGCTACCAATCAGCGATTTCGAAATAAGTTCAGCTCTTTAATCAATAAATCCAACACAACGCCGTCACCATTTTAAAATAGGCTTTGGTTATTTCAAATTATATACACTGGACCGGAAAGATATTTTCTGAAATATAAATAGCAAGACAACTTCAAATCATTAAAATGAAATTCTTATATTATTTACTTTCGATTATAAGATGTAGGGGTATGGAGGTGGGGGGGATACATGATAAAGATATCCATCGCTAATATTAATCTGTGTTAATATTAACAATGTTCTTCATTCTAATGCACCGAAGGGCAGTCTGCTTAAAAGAAAACTAGGAAGAAAATAAAAGTTTCATAAATTCATAGGATTATAACGAATTTATGCTGTAGGACGTACCTCTCCGAAATTCGTCTGAAGCTTGGAAAGCCAGCAGGAAGCCTGCGAGAAAAAAAAAGAAACAAAAGCGCCTGTTTGCGAGACTTCAGTTAAGATAACCTCGTTAATCCATCCTTTTCTAGTGTAGGAAGCTCGTATAGAAATTACTCAACAAAATCATACACCCGTTAAACCAGTAAGGGACACTGTAAATCATTGCAAAATCTTAATATTCATCGATTTGATATATGATCAATTAATCCTTCGGAGATTGTTTCTACTCCCGCCAAAGTCTGCGCGGCTTAACCCCGCCCTCTCTTAAGGAGACGACTGGAGTAGTTGTCTCCCTTGCAGGGCTTATAATACCCAGGCTAAGTAAAGCAGTAATTTGGTTCCAATCGAACAAGATACTGCTCTACAAATAATTCAGCTGAAGATATTTATTTCCTATCGACACTGAAATTGGTGACAACAGCCGAATTTGTTATAAAACGTCTCAACTTGGGATTTCCTCAAGGCAAGATTTTCCTCTGCTGATATCTCCTCAAAAACGGCTTGTATAAAATTTTCTCAAGGAACAGGAGGAAGTCATCGGCTAGGATGTCCTGAAATTCCTTGAGAAATTTTCATACAAGATATTTTCAAGGAGGTATTAGCTGAGGAAAATCTCAACTTGAGGAAATCTTGAGATGTTTTATACAAGTGGGGTCTGGTTAATATATGCATAGTGTATTTACGTTTGAACCATAAAATTAATGTACATTATGATGATGATCATGTTTAATTAAAGGGATTTGTATTGTTTGTAGCCATTCAGTTTTTCGGGGATAAGGAGTTCATTACAAACAAGAATGCATCATGGGAACCAAAAGTCATTTAAATACAAAGAAACAAAACAAGAAATTTAATGTACCAAAGTTTATTTCTATTTACTTCTTTCAGTGCTACATCTTGAATAAAAGTAGAAATGCCAGCCATTCAACAGGGTTGAAAACTGGAGTGTTGGGAAACAATACTTAAAACTTCTATCAAAAAGACATTTCATCACTTTTCTTAAAAATTATTTTTCCTTTCCAGTTTCTATTTTCTCAGTTGTTTCATTTTCAATAAGATTTTTCTTCTCCGAACACAGCTAGATTTCAAACATTTCTAAAGGTGTTAGTTTATTAGAATACACTATTATTGTCTTCCACAACCACTTCTGTAAACCAATACAGTGTAATAGATTTAGTGACATAATGAAATATGATATGTAAAAAGAATGGAAATGTGGTTGGGTGTAAGTTCTGTCAATAAAAACCTTTCCCACTGGAGTTTCACATCAATTGAACCTTGTGTAACTGCTTAACAACTCATTCATGTTCAAAACATTCCAGACAGTGAGAAATTTTTTATATATAAACTGGAAACATTACAGAACTGTTTTGCCATCACAAGACTCTTCCAGGAGTAAACAAAAATTCACATTTGAATGCCCTTTTTATCATTAATGAAGAACATATGCCACACGTTGAGATGACAAAGATTTTGTTTTGGTTCCAGTTTTACCCGCTTACATCCGTGCAGTATTGCTATATATAATAATTAATCTGAATTTACAATAATAAGCATTTGGTACAAGTAGAATGGTGGAGATTAAGTCCAGTAAGTAGCCTACATTCTAATATTTATGCATTCACATACCGTCATGCATTCACATATTTACAGGAAAATGTCACCTTTGAATTATGTTTAAAAACAACATCTTATCTTCTTCATCTCTCATCATGATTTCTCTTCTGCATCACAATCATGCTTGTAGTATCACTATATATACGCAAAAGCTGCACAGTAATGAACATAGCATGCCTACAGTTTTTCGTTAATTATTTCGTAGGTATTACAATTAGATTGGTCATTTAAAAGATGGCACTTATCTTTCTCTTGAATTACAAATGAAAAACATAGAGAGTAAAAAACCGTCAAGGAAGTTTCAAAATAAAACTTGCGTCTATAGGGTTCCAAAGCAAATGAAGACGGTCTTTGGAAATTAACAACTTTGGAACAGGTTAGCCTTGTTATGCAATGGTAAAAACATCTCGAATAAAATTTCATGTTCACTACACACAAAGCAACAATACATGGTATCTATAACAACAATAAGATTTAAAAACTTCTTTCCATCCTATACAAAAAAACATCTGGACACTTCATTTTCACAATGGCAACATCAACATACTACATTCTAGTTTTGTACATAAATCTGGATAGATATAATTGTTTAAAAAAAACATTTGTTTTTAAAGGAATGTACAAAACAAAACAAAGTGACTTCCCACTTGAAATTGCATAAGTGATTTTTGTAACAAAAACAGCTTCTGTGAACCAAAATCTGCTTAAACAGAGGAGTCAATTTTGAGCTTTAATTTGTGATCGATCTTGTGGATATGATTATGCATCCCCCCTGTTGAACGAGGCATTATGTAATCACATATTGCACCTTCCATTTCATTCTGATGAAATGACATGTTTTTCCAAACTCACCCCTGAGTATTACTCAACGACTGCTTACATTTTTTTGTATTTTTTTTTTGTCTTTTATTCCCCCTGTTCGTTTATCTCAGCATCAGTCATGAATAAATCCACTTTCTTTGCTAACATTTAAAAATACTTCTAAAAACAACTACATACAAAATGCTAGAACACGAAAATGAGGGCAAGTATGGTAAACTAAAAAGAAAACCTTGGAAAGCTGAGAAATGAATGAAAAAATGCTTTTACAAACAAAAAAAGAAGACCTTTAAAAATCAAATAAACTTTCTTCAAACCATTTCACTCAAATTTGCAAGAAAATGCTAACAAAATTTCAGATCTTCATCCTAAGAACTGTTGCTGATTTTCAGGCACCTGTTCATTACATCTACTTGGGAGTCTTGGTCTTTCAAATGCATTTGTAGAGAGTAAAACTATTGTGTAGAAATTCTTTAGGAGCCAAAGTTGGCAATAAACATTTACAAGCGAATCAAAGTTTTTGGCAGGTGCAAATTAATTTTCTTGCAGAAATCCTGAAATCAATGTGATTTGTTTTTTGCAAATAGTCGTTTGGTTTCATCGGTACAATATCAAATTGCTTACCAGACCAGAACCTTTCCCATCCCCCCAGTAGCCAAAAAGTTTTTTTTTGATAAAACAACCAGCTCTACATCGAAGCCCCCTTTCACCCCAAATATTTTTTCATAAAAGAGCTATCTATAAATACAAGGTTAATCAACTAGCAGTTCAAAATGGACACTGCCTGCCTTTTCTAAGCGATCATACTGGATGTTAGCAGCATAAGCTCTGCATTCAACCATGATGAGGACTCCTGGTGTTGGGCGTTCAAATCTGACAAAGACAAGAGGTGTCCTGTATCCCTGCTGGTTGCGGAATGGGAAGTACTTGTAGTGGAAACCTCCTGCTGGATAGTAAGTAATGGGTCCAATGTTGTCCTGGTCAGAAGGATTCTGTAGACAAAATATTCAAATTCACATTTCTGGTAGATAAAAACACCTTGTGTTTCAAATATTGTAGTAGATTTGAACATTCATCAAAGTACAAGTAATTTTGTTTTTCACCAAATCCATGGCAAATCCTGTATTGCCATTAATTTTCAGCTGAAATCATTTTTAGAGCTAATACATATGTTTTTAACAGCATTGACCTCTAATGCCATAATACTCTTACTAGTACACACATTTGTGGTACTCATATTACCAATCCTTTACCAACAAACAGTAGGTTATGTTCTTAGGTATTGTTTTTAAGAATATACATGTATTAAAATTTGTGGTGTATTTTTTTATTGTAAACAGATAGAACAAGGGCCAATAACCAACCTCTCCTGTGCACTTGACTGTGACATAGTAATTCTGGTACATGTCGGCAATCTCTGGTGGTACGCTTCCATTCGTGTACATTTGGGGCATCCAATCGAAGATCTGAATGGAAATAATGAAGATAGGTCAAAATTTGTCAACAAAAAATACTGAATAGTCCCATAATACAGGACATATCTTGCATACTATCTATACACAGTAGTCTCATAGATCAGGAAAGATCTTACATACTATCTATACCAAAACACTCTCATATACAGAACAGATCTGACATACGATGTACACAAAATAGTCCCAAAAAACAAGACACACTATCTAAAAAAAAATTTTTAAATCCCACAATACAGGGAAAATAGAAATAGTCTCATAATATAGGAAATGCAATAGCAAAACTGTCAAATGTTTATACTTTCATGATTTTACACAAGAAACACAGGACCTATTAACCTACTGCCAGTATCAAATTTGCTATTATTGGTGTTATAATAACTAAAGGAAACATTTGAAAAACTATGTCAAGCTTCAGAGCACTTCAGTATTTTGCTGTAGTGTACACCAACTTTCAGATATTCCCATAAATAACTTACACTTCCATATAATCTCTGTAATTTTGAAAAACCAATGATTTTTCCTCAGCGATACCTACCCTGTTCAGTTTGACAAGAATGCATGGCAATCCATCATCAAATCCGAAGGCTTGCTGTTTTACACAGTCAGCTCCGAGGTTCTGGGTAAGATCAAATCGACAGGCTTTGTCCCACTCGGACTCTGGACGACGACCGCTGATGGCATCACAATCCACAATCACTCCAGTGTCAGTCACTTGGTTCTCGTTTTCATAGTCTAAGACAATAAAGATTATAGAATCATTTTCAAGTAAGAGATGCATAATTCCTGAACAATAAAGAAATGGCAGCTGGTCTTTACTAGTTATTGGTAATTGATATGACAATTTAAAAGTCAACTTAATATTCAATACCCACAACATTAAGAGATATTTCTAATGATTTTTTTCAGCTTTAATTTACATCTTTAAATGAATAAAAGATGAAGCATTGCACAAAGAATTTCCATTTGACATCAAGAAATTAAACACTTAGCATGATGTATTTTTTCCATAGAATACTATACCTTAAGGTCTATGATATGATAGAAAATCTGAGATATATTCCCCGAAACAAGACATTTTAGCCTGTTATAAATAATTCTCTTTTAACAAAATACCTAATTTTTTTTCGTAAAATTCATGAAATAGTAAACACATTTTTCAGCATCAAATCTAACAATAATTCACATTTTTATTAAGTAATAAGTTCAAAATTTATTTCAATTTCCCAAAAATTTCAAACAGCATCATAATCTTCAAATCCTTCAAATGTTTGTAAACCTGTTCCAAAATATCACATATCAAACAATAAAGCTTATAGATGCTGCAGGAAATTGTCTCATATTACATGAAATTTGGACTGTAAAAACAGCCCTGATTTTGCTAATTCAAGTACTTTATGGGTGGTGAATGTAATTTCAGACATGTATTTTTGCAAACTCTGCAGGGCTTTATGTGACTGGTAGTGGGCCCCATTCCCAACTGAGCAGATGAATTCATGACAGAGTGCTTACAAGAGAGGTAGGCCTCCATGTGATCAGTGTATGGACTGTAAGAGGTTGGATCGCCTTTCACAAATCGCACAAGAGTCGTTGATACATCAGGAATTGGACGGAATCCCATACCTGTAAAAAGATGCAAAAACCAATTTCAATAATGACATCTGAATTTCAATAGGACACCAGTAAAATTTTCAGACCAAATATATTTGATATTTTCTCTTCACATTACAATTGAAATATTCAGCATTTTTCATCATTATAATATCATCTACGTTTTACTTGTTATCACACACACACACAAAAAGAAATACCTGGGTTCTGTCTCAGCAAGCTATCTGGACCAGAAAGTTTTGGGAAGTTCCAGTCAAGTGTCTGATAGAACACGGCGCACAAGGCAGCGAAGAACCCAGATAGACATGCATAGTAGATGATGTAGAAAATGGTGATATGACCTGCAAAAACAATGATTTAAATCAATTTTATAAAACAGAACCTCATACAAATATATATATATATAAAACAAACAAGAATTTCATCAACTTGTTTTTATCTTTTCTACCTCACTTAAACATGCGAAACCCAAACAAGAAACAAAAAGAAAGATAAATGAATCTGATAAGTCAGCAAATTCATCCATTTTGTTTATAAAGCACACAACTTCTATTGGAAATAAAAAGAACAACAGTTTTAGTCAGAATCTACCATTTTTTACGTGTTACATATATTTATTTTCAATGAAGTAACAGTAAGTAAGCAAACTAGTTATCATATAATAGCAGATTTTTAACATAATCAAATAGAGATTGTTTAGATATCTTGAGGTTATATGTGTATGCATGGTTTTGAAAACAACAATAGAAAATACCTGTCAAACACTTCAAAAAATTCTATCTAGTCTTAATTGGATCATCACATTTTATTCTAATTTTTCTTCAATTTCAAAACAATGATGGATTTATAATGATCTGCACTTAAAAATGAATTATGGGTTGTGTCTTGGATTTCAGAACAAACATATTGAAATGAATATGTCTTAAAACAATGAAACGAATGACAATGCATGATTATGCTTGTGTGTAAGCATCCTCAACCAACTTCTTACAGTTAACTATGGGTCTCTCTGTTAATTTTGTTCCCCATGACTTTATAATGCCTCATTTTACTCCCGAAAACCTCATAAATCTTTATTTCTGTAATCTTAAATACAATTCATATGTTACAAAAAGATATTCAAACAAAGACTGATTTTTTTCACTTTCCATATGTAAAATTAACTGTCTGGAAAATAAGCAGTATTTAGATTTCAAGGACATATACTTAAATGACTCAAATTATTGAGACAACCTGTGCACATTTTTAATTCGGGACTCATACTTAGTCAAGTACATTTAATCAGAATCCTAATAAGATACAAGTGTGTTCAGCTGAACTTGAAGATGCATCATTTTACCAAACTGGGAACTGATTTGATTTGCATCAAACATTGTAATACACATGATAGCATGCTATGTAAATTAATTTAATATCATATTTTCACAAATGGTGGTCATATTCTTCACTGACAAGGCACCTTAGATTTTGAAAATTGACATGTATTTGAGTTACAATCCGAAAGAAATAGACCAGTTACTCTTTTTTTTTCCACAACATATTTTCTAGGTTTTTTAAAAGTGTACACAGATTACGTTGAACACACTTTTCATTTTAGGATTTTGTAAAATTTGTTACATCCTTTCATTATCATTATTAAAGGAGTAAATGTATACTTTTTGACAAAACATTCCATTAAACATGGTAATAGAGTTGTAATACAGCTCAAATACATATATAGACTACTAAAAAACTATTGTGCAAGTAAATACAACAATGGTGTAATACAAGTACAATAGAAAAGACTATCAAGTTTTGTTTGTAATGAAAGACCTTCAACAGGAATTGTCACACAGCCTGAGGAAAGAGGCAATAACAATACTGTCATACTGACAACACAGACTATTACATAACATTGCAAAATGCCAGAACTGCCCACCAAAGGGACCAGGATTAGTCTGACATTTATCACAATAATTGCCTTGGGTTGAACACTGTGAGAGATCCCTCTGGGCCCAATTTACAGATCACATACTCATAATTTTCCTTTTTAATCAAAATGAAATATGACACTGGCATATAATAGGATGTAAAGCAATAATAACTTCAAATAAATCAAAGACTGTTTCCACTATGTTCAATAGCCAAACAATAATTGGAAGAAAACAGTTTTCTTATGAATATTCATACCCTAATTCTGTCGTGTTCTAACCTTAGACATGTATTTCCAATTAGCCATACATTCAAATTCGTATGTTGATAACATCGAATTTAATAAATTAAAGAACGGCAAGATAGGGTATCCTGCTAACAGTAAATATACCCCACATTCACAGGAATAACATATTTTTTAATGGCATCACCAAGAATTTATTAGAAACAGATGAGTTAGAATCATTCCCACTAAGATGATATTCTGGAAGACGACGACTTTGTTTAAATCAATTGCACACGAAAGGCAGAAAATTTCATTCCTGTAATTCAACATCATTTAACACGCAAAGGCATTGACAAACATGTGGATGGAGTTCATTAATTTAGTGAAACAATAAGATCTTATCCTTTCAAGGTGACTCTTAGTCTATAAATATTCAAGTGTCAAGTGGACTGCCCAACAATCCCACTTCACTGACATTGTTATACAGTACGACAGGTAAGCTTTTGATGAACCTTGCCGGAGGCCACCAGTAACCTTACCCAGGGAAGCGGTCCCAATGACGCTATCACAGTATTCTGGTAACTAACTCGTTCTAATCATACAAAAACCCTAAAACGGCTATACATGGAATTAAGCTATACATTTAAATAATATTGAGCGAAATATATTGTAAATAGATATTAGAGTTAAATATACAAAATTATTGAGCAAGGTTACATTTTCTAATTCACCCATGGGAACCCCTCCCGGCGCATGGATAGGACGAACTTGCAGAGGTCATCCACTGACAAACCAAATACGAATGATTAAAATAACGAAAGATAGATATTTAAAGCTCCAAGTTTCGAATTTAATACTATGTCACCATCATCTAAATATCTGGCATCTTGGTTTACAAAAAAAGACTGGCCAAACACGGAAATATTCTGCGGAGACAGCATGCAAAATCTAAAGTCACCGGAGTTTATCAGTAATGTATTGCAAATATTTCAATAACTTACCCCAACTTTTAGCTGTTCTTCCCAGCACAGTGCCCTCATCACTATTGTACAAAAAATGTCCAAAATCTGTGAATTTCTGAGAAATTGACTGATTCTGGGGGCCGACAGAAGCCGCTGTTACACCTGTGCTTGCAGAAGACGCCATCTTGGTCGGAGAGAAGCGATAAATTGCCCGGATGTCGTCATCACTCGACCTTTTTGATAGTTGATCACGTGACAACCATGACGTATTCCTCCACGCTCGAGTTGTGTTTCGCAATATAGCACAGAGGAGCCAATACATTTGCATTGCGAAATTTCCATGTGTTCGCAGTTACAAGTTGCAAAATATCTTATTTATAAACAAGCCAACGATTTTACACAACATTTCTAATTTAGACAAGAGCTAAAGAGGAAAAAGTGTCAATTGATAATACAATGTTACCACGGAATTTGATGTATATATATATTGAAGTCCGTGATAATATCACTGGAATTCATAATTATCACGGTCTAAGATAAGTCTATGATTGGGTTTAATTGATTAAATTCGATATATCATAAATTTTCCTATAAGATACCCGGTTTGTGTGTATGTTCATACGCCGTAATAGATATCTTGTTAGCGTGAGTTAAAAGGTGCCCTCTAATAAGTAAATGATAAAATATTATTTTGGTAGAAGTCACATAAAATGTTCGTTTTTTGGTAATAAATTCTACCGCGCTTAATCAGAAGTGACAAAGAATGATTGGGGATGGAAACAATATCTCGACAGCGCCGTTAAATGCCGGAAAACGAAACTAATCATACTCGATTACTCCAAAAATAGCCCAAACTATGAACTATGAACCAATTGCAACAGAATATATAATATATGCATATAATCTAGTAAGTAATATCGACGACATGGTCCAATATTGGTGCTTGATCCTAGCAAACAGTTGGATGCTTGTCATTGGAATGTATTCAATGAAGTAATAACGACAATACGGAGAAGTGAATCGTCAATTTTTCAAAGCATTCTGCCCCTTAATCAAGACACAAATATGACATAATTTACATAAATAGATCTCAAAACAAATACAAAGTTACAAAACTAAAATTGGACGTCGAAGACCCTTTATAAGGTGAGAAAAAACATCTTAGGTTGTTGTACAAAAGATGGCGATACAAATATTTAAAATGTCATCTAAACCTGTAGATTTGAAAAATGGGATTGCGTAAAGGGTAATGTCCCAACATAGTTATTAGAGAGTTATCCTTATTTGAAACATGTTCAGAATTATTAAGGTATGTAAAGTTATAGTAAGCTTTTCAAGTGGGCCTAAAATATCATGAAACCATTTATTGGATAATGAATTTCGGGAGACTTGTGGAAGGTGGTAACTTTGCCATAGAATAGTGAAATGGGGGTATCCTGCGTTTGTTCCATGCACTTGGATTTCATTCAGTCGATTAAACATAAAAAGGTAAACAAAATACTAGTGTTGATCCAGGAAGTTATTGACTGCTGATAGGACTTTGTCTCGTTTGTTGGTTAGTGTTATCGCCCGGCCCTGAACTGCCTGGGTCATTTTGGGGTGAGGTCTCCTTGTGGCCAGATAATCGGCTGCCTCACTGAACAAGATATGAAAGGCCCGTCGCATGCCGAACAGCAATGGTACAGAAACATGTGAAACCACGAGAATGAAAGGTTACCAAGTATGACAAATAACACCCTGATAAAGCTGCCGTCACATATAGCGACATCGTATGGTATGTCTGTTATTTTGATTACCGAACTACATTTTCAAACTTTCAGCTCACTGCTGTGTAATTAAGTAAACATGGAAAGATAATTGTCTGGGCATGTATATATCAATACAGTGTAAATATCAGAAATAAACCTGTTATCAGGGATTTACGACTCACGGTCATTCTGGACATAGCGTCTTATTACCACATTCCGATGCTATTCTACATCGTTACATGTATATCTTTTTGTACCCTCCTTTTTCTACCATTCTTTACGGTACAGAAAGAAATGAAAAACGTGCGACACTGACTCTGACTGAACAAAGTATAACGTTGTATAAGCGGACATATTTTTCATATCTATTGGTAACATGAATGGTAAAAATAGATATGAAAAAGGTGTGTCACTGTACAAAAAGGAGATTGGCTTTCACATGTTTGTGTACCATAGAAAAGTGTACCAAGATTGAGAAGGATATGAAAATTCATATCGTTATGCCGGCTGATATTGCCACATATACATGTGAAAGTAATTTTTTTTGTGACCCGATTTATAATCTTTACGTACAACGCATGGTACGGAAAAGTTGAATTTTCATATCTTTTTTATAGTATGATACACCTTTATTTGGAACAAGTAGATATGAAAGTTCAGGCTCTTGTCGGCCATTGTTATTTTGCCATGACATGTCACGGGAGGTGCAGAGAGCGAAAATGATCATAACCCACGGAGTACCGAGGATGCGACCACATCAGCACAGTTTGTTTCGACGGTTTCTCAGCTTCACATGGTGACGTGTTTGGAGCGTCGAACCACGCACCGCCGGAGATAACGCATACAAAAAGAGATAGGCTTGTTCAATTACGGAGGAACCCATACTTATATTCATATCAAGATTCCAATTATGGGGTTGGGCGACGAGAAACCATCATCATCATCATCATCATCATCTCATCATCAATCATCATCATCATCATCATCATCGGGGTTTGGGCGACTTGTTGGTAGGGACAGTTCCAACCACTCTCGCACCTCGCCCACAATCTAAGCATGCGTGTTCCATTTCACTTTTAATGATTAGATATCATGCATGTTTTTTTTTCATAAGTATGATTTTTTGTTTCTCATAAATCATATTATGTCTGGACATATTTTGGATGCGTACTTCATCATGTAAACTATGACGTAAAAAATATGTGTAACACTTTGATAAAATCACAGGTAAAGTTCTGTATATAACACATAACACGTAGTAAATCTAAATGCAATGATATGGAACTTTAAACAAGATATAAAGTTAAACATTTCAAAAGTTATAGAGACCTCACCAAAAGGACAACTGGACAACTACGGGGACTAACCCGTACAAAAGCGGTTTTAATAAATTACGGGATGGTCTGACCAAGCAGTCCCCATTTACATACTTGTTGGTAGTGTGTTGGGTTGATTTAATGATTAAACACACAGTAACCATGTCGGAGTAACCCGTTTCACACTTAAAGTATGCATGAACACGGTCGATGAAATGCACATCTGACAGATAGATAAACACATATGTAATATAGGTCGCTTTGAGGGATAAGATTAAAATCAATGGCTTTGTTACAAGTTGATATTTGTGATATATCTTTCTTTCTCGAAAGAAAAGACAAAACTTTGTCAGAGTTTTTCGTGGATAATTTGATTGTTTCACAGTGTTCATACAGGAACGTTCTGCTTGCATCTCTTTATTCACACGCGATACTGGTGTGAAACCTAAAACAATATTCGTCAACTTCCGTGTTTCCCCGGAAGGTCACATGAACAGACGCCATTTTCAGTCCGACTGACTCCCAGATGGGTCCACCATTAACAATATAGTATCGTTTTTCATGTCACTATACAGATGTAGAGACACGCGAAGGTATGTATTTAATCACACACGTTCGTGAAATAGTTACCAAATACTGTCAATTCTATATCGAGAACAAAATGGCTGAAAACTGCAGTTTTTGTTTCTGTCAATATAGCAAGGCGCCTAGCTATCTATTCGCAATGTTTGTTTACATTTTCATAACTGCTTCGATTGTTTGTGAAATTGTTCGATTGAATAGAATTTCAAGTACTTCATTATGCCTGTTTAATAATCAGATAAATTGTTTCGTATGTTAGACGCACGTTTACTCACGCAGTCGTTTGGATAGTCGATAAGAAACGAAGATTGTATTATGCTCTTTGCGTAACGCTGTTTATGAAATATTAATATGATTATGAAAAAAGCAGAACATTTAATATGGATGCTTTACGGTTTTGAACCTTGTTATTACACAGTTTTTTGGGGTCAATAATGAGTCCTATTATTCCCAATTGAAATTATCTAATATTTAACAGTTTTAGCCAAATTCACAGAAGTTACAATTTACTTCTGAGAATGTTATGCCCAATTCACTAATCCCAAGATGAGAAAACTATGCCCTGATAAGAGTATATATTCCCATAAAGAGGTTATTTTGTGACAGAAATTTTGCCAAATCACAAACCCCACCCCAACCCCTCCCTTACCTCTCCTTCAGAAACTAAAATCTTGTCTATAAGTAATCTTGTATTTGGTGACAATACCACATCTTACATCATAAATATTTATATAAGTGTTTAGATACAGATATGACAGCACCCTCAGTCATGTCTTGCTATAAAGGCAGATTTGTGATTATTGATTGCAGTTGCATACTTCTAAAAAATGATGATAAATAAATTGTGGTACAATAATAATGCTTATGTTTAAGTTGTAAGAGAAAGATGTTACTCCTGATTGTATCATGGAAAGTTGAATAAAAATTTAGGAAATTTTTGATTCAATATAGGTACAAACAATATTTGAGTGGCCCAATAATTATTATTAGCAGTATGGTATACAGCACAGTACTAGTCTGGAAATATTTTACTATTTGAAAATATAGCATTATACATAATGGTGTAGAATATACATTTTTCGTCTTTGGATAATTTTTGAATTGTGTGTTACAGGTATGTCTCCCTTGATTGATATTTCCAGTAGAAGGCCAAGATGGCTTCACATCTTAGCTGTATGCCATGTATTGTCATTATTCAATATGTTTGTTAGCGGAGATGTTAAAGTGGTAAGTTTACACAATTTTTTTTTTAAATTTGTGTGATTCTGATTGGTTTGATAGTTGTATATGAATGAGGCTGCTAGATAAAGTAGATTTGTGAATAAGACTTTCTATGATGTGTCACACACGAATAAGGCCATTCTGAGTTATGATGATGATAAAGGCAAAGAAGAAGATAATGACAATGAGTGTTGTGTGAATAAGGCTTCAACTGATGCGTCTGGTGTGAATGAGATTTCCATATCTGAATAGTGTTATTCAGAGTTTCATGTGTGAATAAGAAGTTCGATGATGTGTCAAATGTGAATTAGGCTGTTTAAAGTGTCCTGTGTGAATAAGGCTTGTGATACTGTCTCATGTGAATAAGACCATTCAGAATATCAGATGTGAGTAAGACTTCCATATGTGAATAAGGCTGATCAGAGTGTCAGATGTGAGTAAGACTTCCATATGTGAATAAGGCTGATCAGAGTGTCATATGTGAATAAGGCTGATCAGAGTGTCATATGTGAATAAGGCATGCAATGATGTATCTTATGCAGTGTTTTCCAAACTATATCTGATCACCAAACATGTTTTATAAAATTATGTTTGGTCGGGTAAAATATGTAGTAACATCGGACTAAGAGTCCAGTAAGGCTTTGATTGTTTTTGAGCAGCATAAAAATTTTTTTTCATATCAAAACACATTGAAATATTCATTCTCAGTCACTGGAAGTCAATATTTATGGCAGATTGCTAGAGAAATGATCTTCTTAGATACCATTTTATTGGTTATTCTAGCCAGCCTGGGTCTGTTCATAGTGTTGTAAATGTATATCTGGTTTCCCAGTGTTTGAATTTTTCTAAGTTGAAGTATCATCAATCTAGGGTGTTATGAAGTAATACTTTAATTAAAATTCACACAAGGAAAGCAGGTTAACACCTGAACACCACAAAGAAAATTGTAAGAGAAGATTTAAGTTCAAGTGGTGGAGAGTTCTAACCGAGTCTGTATCGGTCAATGGCAACATTACAGTAATGAATGTAATGTAAGGATGTTCAGAGAATTTTGTGCGAATAAGATTTCAGATGTGTGAATGAGAGTGTCGTGTGATATTCTTATATACAGCATATTTCAAGACCACATGGACAGATTTAGTTCTTATAAACACCATGGCACCATCCGACATGATTAGATTTAGTGTGGGGTATATGTGAGATATGTTTGGATTTCAGGATGGGATACTGGAAGTGTAAAGGTATTTTCATGTAAAACAGGCTATAGAATCTTGTAAGAAATATAGGTATTAAAATAAATATAAATCTAGATACAACCAATAAAGTTATATATCTTGATTCAAAATATACCTGTAATATTTTTTTGTAAACATGTTAGGTTATTTGAATTCAAGCATAGCTTTAACCTGTTTATTTTAACTTGTATATAAGTGAGTGACGGTAATATAATGAAATCAGATGCATAAGTATCAAGTTGTTTTAGTATCAAGTAACTGATGGCTGAGTTTAGAAAAAGCTGGTAGGTTGGACATTTCAGAAAATATAAAAGCAGTCACATGGTTTAAAATACATGTCTTGTGTCTATAAGGAAAGTCTAAGGTTGATGACACACTGTCACATGAGTATATATTTTGCCTGTAAGGAATATCTTGTGTTGGTGACACAGCTTAAAATTGGTCTGATGACAGAAATAAGAGTTACGAGAAAACGTAAAATTCATGTACATGTGTAGGTGTTTGGTTTGTACAGGAATCAGATTAAGGCAAGAATCTTAGTGGATTTGCTGAAAAGGTGTTTCTGTTAAAGACAGGATTCAGATTATGAAAAGGAATCTTAAGCAGCATACAAGCGTTCTGTAAGAATAAATTGTTGATAGATGTTGAGTAAAGAAATATATCTAGTGAGGAAAACATGTCTATTACAAGTATTTCATCAGCAGGGATTTGGTTAAAACAGGTGTCAGATTTGGACGGATGTTTGGTCTGGGTAAGATGGAAGGCATGGTAGGACATTTATCTGGGTAAGGTGGAAGTCAGGTAAGGAGAGGTCTCTTAGTAAGATGGAAGACAGGTTAGGGTAGTTGTCTGGATAAGGTGGACACCAGGTTAGAACAGGTGTCTGTGTAAGATGACAGCCAGGTTACTACAGATGTCTGGTTAGATTATAAATCATGTTAGGACAGAATTAATGTTAGGATAAGTATCTGATTAGGAAAAGAGTTAGGTTGTGATATTTATTAGGCTAGGATATGTGTTTTCATTAGCTGACTGATTAGAACATGGATCATGTTTCTGTTATCTAAGAAAAGTTAATTGAAGCAGTAGTTCGTAAAGGAAAAGTGTGTGGTTGTATTTCTAATAGAAATGTGGTTAAGATATTTGAAACACTAGTTTGGTTAAGTATCTAGAAAAAAGACAGTTGACGTGAATGAAAGGCTGTAAAAGTGACAGAAGTTCATGTTGACACACCCTAGCACATGTACTGATAGTGTTGCTGACTGTGTTACGTTTTTAACATTGCATGCTGTCCTTTTTTCCTTGAAGTGGTGGGTTATTTTAAGATCACTTATATATCTATGTGTAGCTTTTATAGTTTCCTTTGTACAAAAGAAAAGACATTAAATGACTTGATTATGAATTATGAATATAAACTACAAAGATATCTACTTGAAGTTTTTTAGTAAAAAAAATTCTAAAAAAGAATTTTTGTTTTGTTTTTGTATTTTCTAGAATCAAGGAAATGAGTCAATATTATTCTACTTGGACAGAATGGCTACCTTTGGCCCGGAGCTAACAGAAATAGGCATTACAGTAAGTAATCTATATTGTTGTTTTTTTACATTAATTTTTTTCAGTATATTTAGACACCAGTACAATGGAAAAAATATCAGTTTAATTGTAGTTCTTTGGTATTTAATTATTATTATGTTTACTAAGTTTTGGTTATCAGACTAGGTGGTCCTTATTGTTATAACAATGAATTTATAAAGCATTCCCATTAACTATCTGTGGACACAGATAGAAGTACACATAACATTGACCAATTAGGAAGGCATTTTTCATAAGTAAACTGCACATTTTAATAATGCTGCATATAATTGGACAATTCTAATTCAAATTATGCTTGATATTGACTCCAAAATCTCAAGAAAAAAAACTTGTATGCAAATGAATTGATTTACATTCAGTTTCTCCTGATACATATACAACAGTAGGGATTGAGTTGGCTGATCTCTCTTGTAATTGCGATCATTTCAGTTATCTAGTCTATAGATCTCTTAAACCTGCTTCATACAGAGTGGTTATAGTATAAGTGGACCTCGTGAACTTTGGTAAATGCTATTTCAGTGAAAATTTTGTGTAGTCTATACATGTGTAGTCCTTAATAAGGACATACATGAATTAAACAGTTTATGATTAATGCAAATGGCACCTATTATATTATATTCCTTAACTAACATTAGTTTTGTGGATGTGATATCAACCATTAACCAGTAAAATGTAGGAGGGAATTACAGTATCTACATGTGCACTATCAGTCATCACTCCATTTATATACAATTATATGGCTAGATAAGTGACTCATTTCAAACTCCTCAGGAAATTCAGTGCAGTAATCATACATTCAAATTGAATTAATTAAATTTTGGTTTTAACAATCTCTAGCAGGTTCATGAATAAAATGTTATTTTGTAGAAAATTATAATCATTTGAGTAATTGTATTGACAATGGGTTATTTTGTTTAAAAAAAAGTAAGAAAGAAAATAATTTGATTATGTTATTACGAAAAATAATTTTACATGAATTTCCAATGAAAACTCCCTCAGGGAGAATGAGATGTGCAAACAGAAGAGTGACAAGCATGGATGTACAGCCTATGTTGGTGTCACCACAGCTTTACATCAAGTACATGTATTCTGTGAAGGTGACACAATGCTTAGGGCTGTGCACAGCCACTCAAACCTGTCTGGATAAAAACCTGATGTAATTATATAAGAACATGTCATAAAGATCAATCTCTTTCTGTTTGAAAGTAGCGTGACTACAGGTAAGAAATCTGTTTAAATTGTTTAAAATTCAAGCTTTTTATATTTTACCCTTATACAAAAAACATGATGATCTTCAGATATTCTGTGTTAGTTGTTAGAACTTTGAGAGGTACATACACAAATTAAGTCATATTTAAAAAGGGATAGATATATGCCCCTCCCTTACACACACATACAATAAAATAAAAAAAAAAATAACAATAAATCTGGTTTCACCCTTTAAAAGTTTAGGTTAGTCGGTGAAGGAATTATGATATAAGTTCTCCAGGTTATGAAAATAATGATCTTGACTTCAGCAGTGAAACCAGTGCAGTGTCGGCTTAAGATGTTAAGGGATTGTCTACATGGAGACAGATAATTTTACATCTAAGCTTGGTGAAATTTGAAGTTGTTGTAGTTTGAAAGAGTTACATATAATATTTACTGTATAATAAATGATATCAGACGAGATGGAGTATTTATACTTGGAATAGAGGAAACATATAAAGTGTGTCAGTGTGTTAAGCCTTGGGCAATGATATCACTACTTGTTAATGTTCTACAGACACAATCAGTCCTCTCAGAGCTTGTGCACACTTACACACATACACATATATCACACACATACACATATATCACACACACACATATATGGCAGGACTTGTTTACCCACTCCAAATGGAGGAGATAATTGATACCGTTTGTGTCAGCTGTCAAAAATGTGACGTATACTTGTGGTTTGGTTCATGTATATATTAATCTTCACCAGCTTAATTAAGCTGAGCCTCGACTCTTGCTCAAGTGAAAATGTCTTTTTACAGTATTTGGTACATGTGTGATAACAAAATGCCCCCTGTTGGCACTCATCCCACATAGGAGAAATAAAAATATATGTATATTATTTTGGTGTGTATGATAGTCTACCCTTACAATCCACAACATTATTGCTGAAATTCATCATTATGATAACTGTATATTGATATAAGAAGCCTATTTCATCACACTTCATATAAAAATAAATGTTAAGAAGTGCTGTTTTTTTAGCTCACCATCATCAGATGCTTAACTCACCATTACCATGGTCCGAGCATCCATCCGTCTGTCCATCCGTAAACAATTCTTGTTATTGCTGTTGATGGAGAAGAAGTATGAATCGTTTGTCAAATTTCATGTTAGGTTACCATTGGTCCCTAGTTGTGCCTGACTGGAAAAAACAAAATGGCTGAAAGGCAGCCATATTGGATTTTGAAAATGAAAGTTTAGTTTGTTATTACTATTTCTTAAAGCACTGAATGGATCTTTCTCAAATTCCATATGATAGTTCCCCTTGTTACTGAGTTGTGCATGTTTTTATTTTCATATTGATTTATAAAAGAGAAAGGCTGACAAACAGCCAACTTTGATTTTCACAAGGAAAGTAATGTATGAATCCTTAAATTTCATTTGTAGGTTTTCCTTGGTCATCAGTTTTGAAAAAAAGTTTATAATTACCATTTTATCAGAAGCACTGGATTGATCTTTGACAAATTTCATGTGAAGGTTCTCCTTGGTCCCTAGTTATGCAAGTTTGATTTTGGAACAGATTAGAAAAAAAAAATGGCTAAAAGGAAATTGGATTTTGATAATGAAAAATTTTGTTGTCGCTATTTTTTTGAAGCACTGGATGGATCTTTCTTAAATTTCATATCAAAGTTCCTCTGTTCTAGAGCTGTGTATGTTTGATTTTCAGACTGATAAATAAAAAAGGAATTTCATATGTAGGTTCCCCTTGCTCCCTGGTTGTGCTATTTTGGGACTTATCAGAAAAACAAAATATCATTTGACCATCTTGGATTTCCCCAAGTAAAGTTTGTTATCACTATTTCTTGAGATGTAAGGATGGATTTTTTCAAATTTCATATGTAGGTTTCCCTTTTTCTGCCTGTTTGATTTTGTGACTGATCAGAAAAACAAAATGGCCAAAGACAGCCATTTATCTATTTCTTAATTGGAGTTTTCAAATTTCATACTGTTGAGAGTATAATTATAGGAGGAAAAAGTTGAAGGGAAAAGATCCAACCGTTGGATAACATACAAAAGCAAGGGAATGATAGGCTGCAAGAGTTGAAATAATTGTATAATAGGTCTCTCGTGAAATATTAATGAATTTAAGAGTTTTAGCTATCAACAAGAGTAGGTAATGGCATGGATTGACAAGGAACATTTTTGTTTGCAGATATATATTCATGAAGTGATCAATCAGTCCCCAGTCCAGTACTTACAGAATTTTCATAGAATTTTTGGAAATTTTTCTGTTGTGGGACCCATTGTTTTTTGCAATAAAGTTATAGGAAACTTGTAAAAATAAACTATAAATTACAGACTCTTCATAGAGATTTTTATAATTCCTAGTAACCAAAATTTAATGTTGTTCTTGACTTAACTAATAATACATGACTGATTGACAGATTTAATGAGTAAAATACATTGCTGTTTAGGTGCCATTCCAGTTCATTGTATAAAGATATTTTCTATGTACTGTGTTCCAGGGTTATTTGATGGCTGTAGGCCCTGAAGTGAACAAGTCTTCCTGTACAGACTTCAAGCCACGCATTCCAAACAATGATACCTCCAGAGTCTGGATTGCTCTCATCAGAAGAAATGGCTGTAAATTTGATGAAATGGTGAGTAAACTTTTTCTCAGATTGGTATGATTTTAGGTAAAAGACTCTAGAAAGTTAAATAAATTACAGATGCAAAACTGCTTGGGTCAGAGGTGATTCATTGTCTGAGGTTACAGGTCCAACTGCTGGGGTCAGAGGTGATTCATTGTCAGAGGTTACAGGTCCAACTGCTGGGGTCAGAGGTGATTCATTGTCTGAGGTTACAGGTCCAACTGCTGGGGTCAGAGGTGATTCATTGTCAGAGGTTACAGGTCCAACTGCTGGGGTCAGAGGTGATTCATTGTCTGAGGTTACAGGTTCAACTGCTGGGGTCAGAGGTGATTCATTGTCTGAGGTTACAGGTCCAACTGCTGGGGTCAGAGTTGATTCATTTTCTGAAAGGTAGTTGATTTCATTCAGAGATCATTCTGGAATTACAAAATAGGATGATGAGCAATGTCTGGTAACTGTATCATTGACAAAAAGAAAAAACCCATACTGTTTTTTTTGGTGAACATTTTACATGGATTGATGTCATTTGACAGCAACATTATTTTGTTAAATTCATTTGACAAATTCTTATGGGGCATGAATTCCAAAAAGGGTTCACATTGTTCTTTTCAAAAATTATATAATAATGACACATTCTATTTTATTTAAATTTTCTTTCTTTTCCAGGTGCTAAATGCTCAGAAACTGGGCTACCAGGGAGTGATTGTCCAAAACCGTTTCAAAGATGAAAGTCTTGTTGCTATGGGAGGAGATTCTCGTAAGTGGAGAGTGATACTTACAAGTCTGAAAGTTTTAATGGATCCAGTCAGTTTTACTAAATCACAGTAAAATCTCAACCGTTAAATGTGTCTTTTTCTGTTCTAGATATGTTTGATGTGAATATTCCATCAGTGTTTGTGGGCTGGACAAGTGGATACGAGATCAGCAAGCATTATTGCTACCAGTGCTCATTCTCAAAGTAAGGCATGGTTAATGGGAAAGTGACGTATCTTATAGTTCAGAAAAATCTTGTTTATAGATTAATATAGTTGTGAAAATATAAGGATAATTTACAGTTTTACTGCTGTAAATCATTAATCTTGACTTTATTGATTCACTGATTGTTGACTCAGAACATGAAGTAATCAAGATAAGGGTCTGAAGTAATTCACTTTCCAAGATATAGGTTCAGCATAAAGATCTAATTAATGGCAAGAAGATAGAGTTATCAGGGTTAAGGGTTCAATAAAACAGTTGTAGGCCAGGAGATGGAGTTTTCAGGGTTAAGGGTTCAATAAAACAGTTGTAGGGCAGGAGATAGAGTTATCAGAGTTAGGGGTTTAATAAAACAGTTGTAGGACAGGAGATAGAGTTATCAGGGTTAAGGGTTCAATAAAACAGTTGTAGGACAGGAGATAGAGTTATCAGGGTTAGGGGTTTAATAAAACAGTTGTATTCCAGGAGATAGAGTTATCAGGGTTAGGGGTTTAATAAAACAGTTGTATTCCAGGAGATAGAGTTATCAGGGTTAAGGGTTTAATAAAACAGTTGTAGGGCAGGAGATAGAGTTATCAGGTTTAAGGGTTCAATAAAACAGTTGTAGGGCAGGAGATAGAGTTATCAGAGTTAGGGGTTTAATAAAACAGTTGTATTCCAGGAGATAGAGTTATCAGAGTTAGGGGTTTAAGAAAACAGTTGTATTCCAGGAGATAGAGTTATCAGAGTTAGGGGTTTAATAAAACAGTTGTAGGGCAGGAGATAGAGTTATCAGAGTTAGGGGTTTAATAAAACAGTTGTAGGCCAGGAGATAGAGTTATCAGAGTTAGGGGTTTAATAAAACAGTTGTAGGCCAGGAGAAAGAGTTATCAGGGTTAAGGGTTTAATGAAACAGTTGTATTCCAGGAGATAGAGTTATCAGGGTTAAGGGTTTAATGAAACAGTTGTATTCCAGGAGATAGAGTTATCAGGGTTAAGGGTTTAATAAAACAGTTGTATTCCAGGAGATAGAGTTATCAGGGTTAAGGGTTTAATAAAACAGTTGTAGGACAGGAGATGGAGTTATCAGGGTTAAGGGTTCAATAAAACAGTTGTATTCCAGGAGATGGAGTTATCAGGGTTAAGGGTTCAATAAAACAGTTGTAGGACAGGAGATGGAGTTATCAGGGTTAAGGGTTCAATAAAACAGTTGTAGGGCAGGAGATAGAGTTATCAGGGTTAAGGGTTTAATAAAACAGTTGTAGGGCAGGAGATGGAGTTATCAGGGTTAGGGGTTTAATAAAACAGTTGTAGGCCAGGAGATGGAGTTATCAGGGTTAAGGGTTTAATAAAACAGTTGTATTCCAGGAGATAGAGTTATCAGGGTTAGGGGTTTAATAAAACAGTTGTAGGCCAGGAGATGGAGTTATCAGGGTTAGGGGTTTAATAAAACAGTTGTAGGCCAGGAGATGGAGTTATCAGAGTTAGGGGTTTAATAAAACAGTTGTAGACCAGGAGATGGAGTTATCAGGGTTAAGGGTTTAATAAAACAGTTGTATTCCAGGAGATAGAGTTATCAGGGTTAAGGGTTTAATAAAACAGTTGTAGGCCAGGAGATGGAGTTATCAGGGTTAGGGGTTTAATAAAACAGTTGTAGGACAGGAGATAGAGTTATCAGGGTTAAGGGTTTAATAAAACAGTTGTAGGCCAGGAGATAGAGTTATCAGGGTTAAGGGTTTAATAAAACAGTTGTAGGACAGGAGATAGAGTTATCAGGGTTAGGGGTTTAATAAAACAGTTGTAGGACAGGAGATAGAGTTATCAGAGTTAGGGGTTTAATAAAACAGTTGTAGGCCAGGAGATAGAGTTATCAGAGTTAGGGGTTTAAGAAAACAGTTGTATTCCAGGAGATAGAGTTATCAGAGTTAGGGGTTTAATAAAACAGTTGTAGGGCAGGAGATAGAGTTATCAGAGTTAGGGGTTTAATAAAACAGTTGTAGGCCAGGAGATAGAGTTATCAGAGTTAGGGGTTTAATAAAACAGTTGTAGGCCAGGAGAAAGAGTTATCAGGGTTAAGGGTTTAATGAAACAGTTGTATTCCAGGAGATAGAGTTATCAGGGTTAGGGGTTTAATGAAACAGTTGTATTCCAGGAGATAGAGTTATCAGGGTTAAGGGTTTAATAAAACAGTTGTATTCCAGGAGATAGAGTTATCAGGGTTAAGGGTTTAATAAAACAGTTGTAGGACAGGAGATGGAGTTATCAGGGTTAAGGGTTCAATAAAACAGTTGTATTCCAGGAGATGGAGTTATCAGGGTTAAGGGTTCAATAAAACAGTTGTAGGACAGGAGATGGAGTTATCAGGGTTAAGGGTTCAATAAAACAGTTGTAGGGCAGGAGATAGAGTTATCAGGGTTAAGGGTTTAATAAAACAGTTGTAGGGCAGGAGATGGAGTTATCAGGGTTAGGGGTTTAATAAAACAGTTGTATTCCAGGAGATAGAGTTATCAGGGTTAGGGGTTTAATAAAACAGTTGTAGGCCAGGAGATGGAGTTATCAGGGTTAGGGGTTTAATAAAACAGTTGTAGGCCAGGAGATGGAGTTATCAGGGTTAAGGGTTTAATAAAACAGTTGTATTCCAGGAGATAGAGTTATCAGGGTTAGGGGTTTAATAAAACAGTTGTAGGCCAGGAGATGGAGTTATCAGGGTTAGGGGTTTGATAAAACAGTTGTAGGCCAGGAGATGGAGTTATCAGAGTTAGGGGTTTAATAAAACAGTTGTAGACCAGGAGATGGAGTTATCAGGGTTAAGGGTTTAATAAAACAGTTGTATTCCAGGAGATAGAGTTATCAGGGTTAAGGGTTTAATAAAACAGTTGTAGGCCAGGAGATGGAGTTATCAGGGTTAGGGGTTTAATAAAACAGTTGTAGGACAGGAGATAGAGTTATCAGGGTTAAGGGTTTAATAAAACAGTTGTAGGCCAGGAGATAGAGTTATCAGGGTTAAGGGTTTAATAAAACAGTTGTAGGACAGGAGATAGAGTTATCAGGGTTAAGGGTTCAATAAAACAGTTGTAGGCCAGGAGATGGAGTTATCAGGGTTAAGGGTTCAATAAAACAGTTGTAGGCCAGGAGATGGAGTTTTCAGGGTTAAGGGTTCAATAAAACAGTTGTAGGCCAGGAGATGGAGTTTTCAGGGTTAAGGGTTCAATAAAACAGTTGTAGGGCAGGAGATGGAGTTATCAGGGTTAAGGGTTTAATAAAACAGTTGTAGGCCAGGAGATAGAGTTATCAGGGTTAGGGGTTTAATAAAACAGTTGTAGGCCAGGAGATAGAGTTATCAGGGTTAGGGGTTTAATAAAACAGTTGTAGGCCAGGAGATGGAGTTTTCAGTGTTAGGGGTTTAATAAAACAGTTGTAGGCCAGGAGATGGAGTTTTCAGTGTTAGGGGTTTAATAAAACAGTTGTAGGTCAGGAGATAGGTTAACTCTGATGTACTTTTATTTCTTTCCTTTTAGTTACACAATCACCATCAACAACAATTTACCACAAGACTTCAAGTCATACATCTTGTGGCCTTTTGCCATCGTAGTGGGCACATGCTTTATTCTCATGCTCTCCTTTATGGTAAGTAACAGTAGTTCTAGAGATCAGAACTTCTTTAGATATCTACAGTTTGATTACTGCGTCTTAAATTATTTGCTGTTAATTTTGTAAATTTCTGGAACCTTGTCATATCAAACAGTGTTTCATCCCTCTTTTATGAGAGTATGGGATAAAAAGTGCTATAAAGATATGAGAAAATTCTTTAGTCAGCATGTCTAGTTACCAGGTAAAATCATGAGAGACCTGTAACTTATTGGATAGAAGTTTGTATACCACAACCACTTAGAAGGCAGTATCAGAAAATCTCACATATCACTGGTTTGTGATAAAAGAGCTTCTACACAAAATAAATTACCAGCCTGAAGAAAATGTTACATGGTCGGAAAAATCAAGTTTTGCAAAATTGGAGTTAAGATTTCCTTGGTTACTCTGTAATCTGGAGTTCTGTTGCCAGAAAAAGGAGATTAATGTGAATGAGTTAAACAATACAGTGAACAAGGCCTCAAGACATGATAGAAATCACTGAATCATTGCTAATTAACTTGTATTTATGTCTTTATCTTTGATGTGAGTGACCACATTGATGAATTGTTGCAACATCAACATCCCTGTACAAAAATTAGTCATACACACAATCTCATGGTTCAAATTGTAAGTGAACAGTAATAGATTGGGTCTAAACTATCACTAGACAGAAATTATTTTTTCTATTGAAAAAATTAAGTGTTGAATTACCTGCCTGAATTTAAACTTATGCAGATCTTCATGTAATTTACCATTACATGTTTCCAAAAATCAGTTCTCAAAGGATTGAAGTTTTCAATACCGATGACATTTCAGGGTTATTATTCAATCTTACTGGATTCTGTTCCTTTCATATAATGACAACATAATTCTCCAATTATTTCAGATATTTAAGTGGTGTAGAGACATCAGCAAAAGAAAGAAGTCAAGGCTTTCAACAAAAGTGCTGAAGAAAATACCAACAAAGAAGTTTAAGAAAGGTTTGAGAGCATAATCAAATATGTCTTCTGGCTAATAGTAAGGTCTGATATTACCATAGTTTAAAAGAAGTGTCTTTGTGATGCAGATGACAAATTTGTAAAGCATCTGTGTAACACAGATGATAAGTTGATAAGTGTTTGTGTGACCTGGAAAATTCCTCTATTACAGGTGATGACTATGATGTATGTGCTATTTGTCTTGATGACTATGAGGAGGGAGACAAACTTAGAATCCTGCCCTGTTCTCATGGTAAGTGATCTCGTTTTCAATTAAAGGACAGGCTCTGTTTACTTTCAACATGAACAATGATATTATCATTGAAAATGATGCATTTTGATGGCCCTTCCAAAATCAGAATACCTCTAATGCTTGTTATGTGTAATGTTCACTCTCTATTAAAAAGTCAGCAAATTTTACTGTTCCATGTTTAAGTATGGTAATAGTATTTGTCAGTGTTAGATTTCATTCTGGAACACCTGGTCTTACTTTCCTCATACTTTTTAAGGTCTCTGTGTAAAGCTTTTGTTTAGGGATGTCCATGAATCTTTAAAGCAAAATGATATTTGAATATTTGTTTTCATGATTGTTGAATATGAACATTTGGGAGGTAAGCTAAGATTCATCTGTTCTTTGTAGACAAAAATAGTTTTTATTCTGTATTGAGTTTTGTTAGTTAGAACATCAAAGTATTATTAGTGTTCAAGCTTTATACCTATACTATTCAACATGACACCAATCCCTATCACTTTTGGGCCTTAAGTCACCACTATCCAGGTAAGTTTAGCACCTTGTGTATATGAAACACAAAAGCCATACAGTGCCTGTAATATTGTGGATGACGTACTTTGTGAATAGTCATGACCATGTTGACATGTTATGAGAGAAATTCTTGCCGATTTCAATAAAAGAAATGTTAATATTTTAATAAAAGTTTTTGTTCACATTTATTTTAATGTCACATTGTTCGAGGCATTATCACACAGGATACCATTGTATCAGAATTAGATTCAACCTTGACACTAGTTTGTACAAAGAAGTAAATATGCACTACAGTCAAACATTTTATGTTATGAAGAACTATGATAATTATTCTATTGAAAAAGTTATCTTTAGGTTTTGATATTAATGCTGTTTTCTGAGTTTTGAAATATGAGAGAATATATTTGTGTCTTGAAATCTTATCGATTTCAGTGACACATTTTCACACTTTTAAAACTGAGTTCCAATCGAGACAATCTCACCCGGAAATTGATCTTAATTTTTACAACTACCGTCTTCAGTTAAGCTCAATAGTGTTACATTCTTTTGTTCATATTTTGTTTCCGTACCATCGACTGTGAATGAAAGTTTTGTTATTTTTCTACAGCATATCACTGTGTGTGTATCGATCCATGGCTGACAAAAAACAAGAAAACTTGCCCAGTGTGTAAGCGTAAAGTCATTCCAGGAAGTAACCCAGACTCGGATTCAGATTCCGATGAGGATAATGGAAACCAGTCTACATCAGAGAGAGCTCCCTTGCTCGGAAACAACAACAACACCAGACCAGCCAGAAGGTCTACATTTGATAATTCAGGTATACGATATATAGAGAATACATGATCAGTGTCTTGAAAAATATTTTAACAATGGTGAAGAAATATAAAAGTGGTGAGCCTTTTGCGAAACTTAAACAGTTTGTTAGGGTAATTCAATCTTTATTTACCTGACATTGACATTACACTGAATTGTGCCTGATGACCACATTAAAATGATTGCCCTGCATGGAAATATAGTTTCTTAATTCTGTGGATATTAAAAGCAATTAAATGAATTTTTGTAAATCAGCTTGATTTTATGGTCCCTGAATTGTTGCCACTTTGTCCATACGTCTGTCCATCTTATTTTTTTTCCAGAGCATTACACAACAACTAAAAGAAATATCAACATAAAACTTTGTAGGTAGATAGATCTCAACAAGAAGTACAGTGAACCAGAACCGTCACTCTCTTTTGAATAATTTAGGAGTTATTGCCCTTTGTTATTTTAAAATTTTGTCATGAGCATTATACTAAAACTACATGAGGTGTCAACATGAAACTTCTTTGGTAGTTATTGCGCTTTGTTATTTTTCATATTTAAATTTTGTCCCATTCAAGTCTCTGACAGCCCTTATTTACAACAAATTACATCAGTTATTTAAAACAATTGTTTTTATGTTTATGAAATGAAATATCCAGAAAAAAAATCTGTTGAATCAATGCACATGCTAAAATACAGCTGAAAAAACATCACTGCCGAATACTGCAAATATGTATATTAATATTTGTATATTCCGACACAGGCATTGCCAGTTTTAGGATAAAAGTAAAAACTTTTTTGGGGGCAAAGTAAATGACTCTTACAAGTTACGAGTCATATTTATGTATATTTTATATCGTATTTCATCCTGGTTTGTGTGTAAATTAGCTGTGGCTGATAACACTATGCCATTGACTAGCGTGCAATATAGAGCATCTTCTACAGCTTTCCACTTGAAAAAAGTGTTTTTCAAGCAAAGTACAAAATTATTCCATACTTAACACTTAATACTTAACACTTTCAGTTTACTGTCGTCTCCGGTGCTACATCATAAAATTATCTTAATCGTATCATAAAAATTTGATGTAGAACAAAAATTATATTTGTATCCCTCTTCATCACTATAAGTATATTAAACTCTGTGTTGTAATATTAGGAGATGTTGTTGAGGTTTGAAGTTTGTGATATTTACAGGGCTACCAGAGACAATGCGACCACTGCTGAGGACTGTAAATGAGATGAATCCAGATTCTAGTGATAGTGATTCCGACTCGGAGGATGAGCAGCAGCCCATAACTCACACGCAGGAAAATGTTGTCAACAGAGCTGTTGTTAATCGTGGTTACTTCAAGTCAAGTGATGAGGACAGTGACGAAGATATACAAACCCAACAGTCAGGAGTCGAGGAAAGTAGACAAGGAATTATTGCTAATGTTTCCATAGTGAACGTGGACCAAACTGAAGAATCCAGAAATGTAAATCATGTGGTTTGATTTTTTACGAGCATTTGTAGTTGTTTCCAGACCTGGATTCCTGGTGTTTTGAAGACTGATGTCCAGACCTGGATTCCTGGTGTTTTGAAAACAGATGAATAGAATTATGTGCAGGATATGTATTCCCAGCTCCAACACCCTCAAGACTTTTTTGTATTTGGCTGTGAATGAAACTGTTGAGTTAGACATATGAATCTTCAAAATACATACCCTGGTAGTTTTGACTCCTGATGGTTTTCTCTAAACAATTAGAAAATGTCATAAAAAGGGTTGAAGGCTCAGAGTCTTAATTTGATGATATATGAGTTGACCATTTTGGAAACTTACAAACAGACAGCTATGTCCTCTTTGATCGAAGATAAAAGAAATTGCATTACAAGATAGTTTCTCTGTCAAATTTTAATGTCTCGATCCCAGTGGTTATCTGTCAAACTTTAATGTCTCTATCCGCATGGTTCAACTTACCACCTTAAGTCAATTGGTTCAACTGGAAGCCTTCAATTTTTCCTTGCTTAGTAAGGGGCTGCATACATGATGTAGATCAAATAGTCAAACTCTTGGATTTCATTGATGTTTTTATGGTAATATGTATAATTCTTTCATGTTAAACTATGTACAATGTAACATTTTAAAATTGAAAACTGAAAAGGTCCTCCTTAATGGGGATTAATTAGTGCTAACAAGACAGTGCTAACATATTGTCAAAAAATACAAATATTTTATTGTAAAGCATCACAGGTGGTGTTAGTACAATGACCAGACTCCAGCATATTTGAAGGTTACAGCACAAATCAAATGTCCTTGGGAAAGAAATGTTTGTAGGAGGCTGACTGATCTACCTTTTCAGACTGGTACAGTTCTGTATTGAGCATATGATGTTGTAAAATAGTAGATGACTCCTGTTAAAGTCTCATATTCCCATCTGACATAAAAATGTTGCCTGCAAAAGATCAAACTTAAAAGTTTTAGAGCAGTTATGTATTAATGCTGTGAGATTTATCACCTATGCTATTTGGAGAGAGAAATTCATCTCACTAGTCAACATGGTCAGCGTGGTAATATCACAGATAGAAAAGTGGTTCTTGTAAATAGAGGATTAGAATTGATTGTCACGACATCTGTGTTTTATTACTGTGACCTATAAGTTTAATTCAGGAGATTAAATTATATACAAATGTTAGTGTAGCTATTTGTGTGGATATGATCTTGTTGGCTTACTTGGATAACCTCCCTTTGTATTTGAAATAGTGTTGATAAATCAAATGTGATGTATTACAAATACCAGACCAAATATTTTAAACAGCAAAATTATACTGTTTGTATCATTTTTGTTTCATTTTTCAATCTTGCAAGGCAAAACAAATTCTGTGGGTTCTTTACTTTTTCTTTACTATTTATTTCGTCTTCCATTTTATGAAATGAACGTGTCAAGTCCTTTATCTAGCATTACTTGAATTTTGAAAGGTTTTATTGGCGATCAAAAATATTTTTTAAAATTGTTGATAGATAGCTTAAGATGTGTATGTTAACATTGATGTGAAATTAAATACTTGTGTTTGTAACATTTGAAGAAGCTTCTTTTGAATGATCATTGTGTTCTGGTCAGTTTTATGAGAAGAATTCTTTTTTGACACCATGATAATCTCTTATTAGGTATAAAACATAAATTCCTGTAAAATTACCATTAGGTACCCTAAAATTTATTCCAGTTTGATTCAGATATGATTGAAAAATTGATTACCACATTACATGTACATGTTATGTACAATCCACATATTTCATTTTGATAATTGAAACCAATTGTTAATTGTGCTGTAATCGACAATACTGTGATCTTGAAAGTTCAGTGGAATTTTCCTCACCTTAATTGTTTTTGATGTCTCTGAGGCAGTGATGTATATTACTGGCAGGCACACAAAGACGTTTCTGTGGTTTTAACTGAAATTCAACTGAACTTATTGGATTTAATTGTCACTGTATAAATACAAGCATCTGTTATAGATTCTGCTCCATCTTGAAAGTAAATTACAGTTTTCAATAGCTTAATACAAACACACACCCACAAATAAATAAACTTATAAGGGTTGTCCCTAAAAATAAAATTGAGATTTTTTTTCAAAGATTTTAGTTGGTCGTAATGTATAGATATAACATGAAGTCTTGTCCTGTGGGAAAGGGGTAGCTTTAGACATGATGTTCAAATCAATCTTTTCAGTTAGAGAAAAGGTTGGTGAATATACTTGTACAAGAAGTTTGCCTTAACTGGACTTGATGCTAACCACTATTTCTAGGGTTTCATTTTCTACAGGTTAGATTTGGTGTCAGGTATGTTGTCATGTTTTCCTCCAGAGAACAGATTTATATCTTCTCTCAGGATTTGTTGTATACACATATTTGTTTTAAATCTGCTTTGAGCATGCTGCAGTCCAAGTCGATATATTTGGTATTTGACAAGGAACTAACATGTACATTGTATAACAAAAGTGTTCCCATTGTTACTATGGGATAAATGATGATAAATTATTGTAAAGGTTAAAGTTACTATGATAATGAAAATTTTTGTATGCTCCTTCATATAAATACAGGTATATGTGTTCAATGTATGTCAAATTGTATATTGTAACTTAAATACAAACTTAATTTAAATATTGACATTTTTTATCGTGTTATTTAATTTCTATGCTTAATATAAATTAATGATATTTTTCTGTAATTTGATGTATTTTAAGCTCCTGGTGATAGTGGACTATTCACAATGTACCTTGTCTGTCCTTAAACAATTCTTGTTATGGTTATTGCCGGTGAAGCAGAGGATGGATAGTTCTCACACTTCATAGGAAGGTTTACGATAGTCTCTAGTTGCAGTTTTCATATTAATTAAAAGCAAAAATAGGAGAGATAAGAAATGAAGGAGAAATATCCCGCTTTTAAAGAACAGATGAAGGAGAAATATCCTGCTTTTAAAGAACAAATGAAAAGTAAACAAAAGTGGGTGCCAGTATCCCCCATATATATTTTGTTCGTTTATTGTCTTTCCATTAAAGTTATTTATTGAACTTAATCGACCCTGGTACTGTATCTTACCCATTTTGATTCCATGTTGAAGAAATATGTCCACCTTTTTGTCGACAATTAAGAGTGGATAAGGTCTTATTCAACATACATTTTTTGGGACAGAATATGTAATTCTTGTTTAGAAATTTCCGCAAGAAATAAATCTATATCAGTACGTTTCACAGGGTCTGAAATTACTGATTATTCTGTCACTCTCTGGGGAAAAATTACCAGATTTGAGCTTTTACAAAAATTGAGCACAGTGTGAAATGAAGGTAAGCATGGTGTGAAATTAAGGTATTTGTAGTTGAGCTCATTTGTGATTCTTCCCTTTTCTGTTTCTAAGTATAAAAGGCTGTCTCAAGGATTTGATTATCTACACATACTATATAGCTTTTTATGGTTGCCTGTATCTTCAATTTGATCAAAAACTTATTAGCGATTGCTGATTGGAATTTTTCAATAAATGCAAATTAATGTACAGTGTATATTAGATTTTTATTATATAAAGGCTGTGTTGGGCGTATTGTAATAGGCTTCAACATTTACCCGAGGTCCCAGATGTAGATAGAGCTGTTCTATCAGTAAATAAGAATTATGGGTTATTAACCAAGACTTAAAGGTGAAGTCAATCTATCTTTGTTTTATTGCATCAGCAGTGAATCTGAAAAAATGTTATTGTAATGAAATGTTTAATGGACAAGAAAATGGGGGACTCCAAATAAAGTGCTTGTTATTTCAGTCCAAAATGAAACATGTCCAATGTTTCAAATATTTTGGTGTAGAAATTTGAAATAGGTAATTTTCTATTTCACTTTAGAATAGAGCACTACAATACTGATAATAATTAAGAGTAAAAAAGTTAAGGTTTTAAATCACTCATTAAAAAATGTACATGGATCTCATTCCCCATGAACATTATTGTCTTTCAATTACAAATTAAAATTTCATAAATTATTCAAATAAACCTCATGAAATTAAGGGAAAAATGTCTATGATTGTTACATGTTTTCACATTATGAAAAGTACTTGGGTAACTGGTCATCAATATCTGATAGAATAAGTGGATAGTTTTCATATGACTTAGAATACATTACAAGCTGATATATTTTACACAATTTTTCATGCAAATATAAAGCAAATAAATTTTATATACCCAAATATATTGTGTGTTTTCTGTTACCTCACCATTATCAACAGATGATGGAATATAAAATTGTTGACATTTTAAATAGCCCATTGTTTAACGTTATTTTATCAGTACTGATAGGAACAAACAAAAACAAAACAAGAGGCCCATGGGCCTTAACAGTCATCAGACATAAAATACAAGATTTCAAATTTTGAAGTTGAGAAGAAGTCGAAAATGTGTTTTCAAGATGGCGGCCATGTTGGATTTTGGACCAACCTGAAATTAACAAACTTTGGTCAGGATCATGTCACAATCATTTCAGGTAAGTTTCAGCTCAATGAGACATGTAGAACTTGGGAAGAAGTTGAAAATGTTTATGACAGACGAGGCCGGACAAAAGGCGATCGCAATAGGTCATCAGACCCTTTCGGTCAGATGACCTAAAAAACTGGCTGACAAGTGGCCATATTGATTTTAGAGTAAAAGTTTTGTCATCTCTGTTTTCACCATCTCATGGTGGTTTTACTTTTGTTGAATTAATCCACAATACAATAAACAGAATAAAAGGGTGGTCAGGTGGCAGAGTGGCAACATTTCGCTTAGACATGCACGGTTTCCAGAATGTATGTGAAAAGATATGGGGTCACCTGCCCAACCATATAAGTGCTCCTCTGTACTCCTGGTTCTTCCCACATTAAAACTCCTCACATGACTCCAATATGCCAACAAGAGTGACTAATGTGGAAAACTGATTTCACTAGTGTTGTGAAATAAATAATTTTAATAACAAGAGGCCTCAATGGTCAACTGAGTCACAATGCTTCTTCTAACATGTCATATAAATTATTTTGTTAAAAAAAAAGTAATATAACTTAAACCATATTGTACACAACATGCATTGATAAATTGTGTATTCATTAACTGCTGTCCAACCAAGTTTGAATTTAAAGAACTTGCACTCAATTTCAGTCAATTTGACCCATTTTTGGCTCCGCCCATCAGCTCCTATGGGTTAGCCTAGGTCAATAATGTGCATCTCATTAAAATGTCATCTTAAATTAATAATTCTAACCAGGTTTGAACTAAACTATAGTTAATTTTACCGCGTTCCCAGACGAAAATGCTAGAAGCCTGAGTCATGAAATTAAAAATGTTGGAAAAAAATATGAAGGCCTTTCCATCCATGAAGAGTACTTGATCATACCTGGGATTGGAGATGATTTTTTTTAAGTTTCAATCAATTTGACCATTTTTTGGCCCCACCCCCCCAGGTCCCATGGGAGACAATTGGTGAGGATTGAATCAAGGATTTGCGTTTGCAGGGGTCTAGAAAAATATTTTAAACCACTAGGCACAGGACTAGTGGACTGAAAAATTTACTCGTCCAAATTCAGCCACGAAATGGCAACTTAATTGGCGAGGATGTGATGTGACTTTTTTTCTATTTTTATTTCAAGTTTTAGTGAAAAAACTTGGCAGTGATGGCTGCTTTGCGTCAGACATTGTGCACGACTTAGGCCTAACTGTAGAGTTTGTTTATATCCTACTGACTAGGTGCTGCTAAATACAGACAGGTACATGTTGGTACCGCCGGAGAGCACCCGACATCAGTATGACAGCATGAAACTGACTAAGGTATTCCGAATGCTATATTTGACGTCATGGGAGTTCCGGTGTAATCAAACCCCTGGTTTAGCAACTTAATTTTAAATTTTCATTTTTAATCATCATTAGAACAAGAGAATTTGGCAATTTAGTCTCCAGCCGACACACTAAGGTGATCCCATAAACCAAGCATAAAAATTCAGTGATAAATTGTGTGGGAGATTAACTTTTTCTTTGATATAGGTCAAAGGTCAAAATGTGGGCAAGTGACCTTCTTTTGATACACAATACACTTTGTCACCAAGGTGAACCTATATCCTAAGTATGACGTTCCAGTGTAGGAGATAGCATCTGGACAATAGAGTGGAAGGACAGAAAAACAGAAGAATGAACAGACACCATGTAAATCTATAGTCTTCCTAGTGGAGGACTAATATTAACTAGAAACACACTTATTCAAAGTAGGAGGAGATATATAGAATTTCTGTCTGGTTTGGTAATTAATAAAAAACTACAGACACATTCATACAAAGTATATTTGTATTTGACAGACATGTTAATAACAGCCTAAGATTGACGGATCAGTACAGGTTTCCTGTTAACCCAGGATATCATGATAAAAATGCAAAGGAACCTGTAGACCAAGTATAATGAATTCTCTGTAACACGACATACAAACATGCTTCTCCACGAGTCAATAACAACATGGCTGTAGTCAATCTGTTGTTTAATTAAAACCATGTCCGAAGTCCACATCACAAACACACAAGCCTGTTTTTTTTTTTGTATTTTCATCACGAGTCTCCTAATTGACTTTTAGCTGGTGAAAATGATGACCAAAATCACCAATTAAGACAATTAACATTACTGCTGTTAAGTATCTTAGATTGTCACTGATGCCTTTACTTTCATCCTTAGTATTTTGAAAGAATTTCTTGAAATGACCAGATATGAATCTGACTTCAAAATCGGGTGATAAATTTGAGGTATTGTATTACTTCAGTCTATAAGTTGAAATTTTAAGTGATTGAATGATCGGCCAAATCAATATCATCACCACAGACATAAAGGACAAAGGACACATTTCAAAAACTCCTTTAGTATGTGAAAAAAACGCATGGTAGAAATATTTCTCATCAAATGGCAATCTGGAAATTTCTGTTTTTTACAGACTAGATGTGCGATTATTTTGACGTTACTAGCTAGGCCAGGTGAATCCTATGTAAGATATGGTGTGTAGTGCTCGTCATATGTAAATGATAACTTTCCTATGCAGTAGCTGCCTTTATGTAACTTCTATTTGTAACTATGTATTTGTCATTCTTGTTTTCATTCATTCTCTCTTATCCCAAGACCCTTTTACTCCCTATCACTCCACTCACACAACATAATCCACATTTACTTCAGGGTTCTCTAAACCAACATTCAGTACTGTTTTCTTGGTCAGTTTATTGCAGACCATTCCACAATATCTCCCATGTTTTCTTAATATAAAATTAATTTGTTGAAAGTTTTAACTATTCCACATTAATCTCCATGTTTTTTAACTGTCAAATGAATTTGTGAAAAAAAAGGTTTAAAAACTGCAAACTTGTTGTAACTAACTGACCACCAGTAATTTGAATTTTCTTCTAACTTCTTGAGTCAGAATCACTTCTGGTATAGAGCTGCTCTACTTTGATGATATTGTCGAGGTTAGCAACCTTTCCATAATGTACTGAAATTTAGATAGAAGAACCCATTCATTGAACCTCTCTTTTCATTCTGAAAACATAACTATTACAGTATGCACATCTTCACATTACGAACCATCAGGTATCACTTCCAAAAGTACATCACATTTTTCTACAAGATAAAAATTTCAATGCATTTCCAATAAAAAATCTGGAAATCATTGAAAAACAAATCAGCTCACTTTTTGTTTCAAAATAATAAAATGACCGTCAGATTTGGAAGCATTTCTAAAATGCAGTCTCATCCCAACATTTGAAATAAACACTAGTTTCTGTAAGGTTATATACATGGGTTACTGACATACTTTCTTTTAAGCCTCATGTCTAATCTGCTTCAATTCATCAACATTAAGTGTTGCTCGATCCTGCATTGATTTTTAGTGACAAAAACTACATATCTATATCAACCAAATTCTTCTGGTCAAAATTTACAAAATATAACACACTCACAGAATCAACAAAAATAAAACAAGATCGACAAACAAAACAGACGATTTCTATTAAGTTAAATACAGCACTTTTCTTTTTATATATATAAAAAAACTTCTTTAAATGAACACTATATTCTTTTCTTCTCTACTGTTAAGCTAATTGGTGGTAAATCATAGATCAATGAAAGCTGACTAGTTTCAGCGGAAATATTATTTTTGCTGAAACTATTCAATACTTACATATCTATACTATCTTTGGAGCTCTATCATGATTGCTAGAAACTTAAGAGAAGCAATCGTAACAAATCATTTTCTTCTTTGTGTTTGGACAGAAATGTCCATAGATTGTGCTAACTTCATATATCAAAGCATGTTTAGAGAAGAGATCCGAGTATCAGTTAAAGATCACTAAAAATTTAAGTACCATGCAACTATTGACTGTGAAACTAAAGCAAATGTAATATTTCAAATACTGAAGTTATTTATTGTGAAATCAGAATATTTCAGGGCTTGACATGAATGCAATACAAATGTGTTCGTTGTTACAGAATTAATAGTGTCCCTGATTTACATTCTTTAACTGGGAAAAATACATTTAAAAAGTTCAATGCTTTTCTACACTTTTCATTTGAAAAACAAATCATCTGTTTTTGGAAATTAGAAATAACCCTAGAAAATAAGGAAAAACAAACATGCTACAAAATGAATGTGCCAATTGCAGATAAATATTGGCAATATACCAGTACACATTTTAGAAAATCTGAAAGCAAGCTTTGTGAATGTTTACTACATTAAAAAAAAGAGCATTATATATAGGTCACTGCAAGGTACAGCAGTGAAACAAGACCAGTAAAAGTATCAGCTTGTCAAACTTTCCAAATTTTTTTATATAGCATTTCATATTCATTCTAAAGTATACTTAAATCTTAAAAAAAAAAAAAAAAAAAAATCCTACAATTTTTCATCATAAAGCATTAAGTGATATTCTGTGAAAAAAATCTTCAAATTTTGAATATATCAGACCAGACCTGAATAACCTTAAGAAGTTTTGTGAAAAGGGACTAAAGTAATTTTACAAATAATCTATTTTTTTAAAATTATGATTATATTTTCCAAAATGATGAAAAAAGACATTCACATGTAAAGAACAGAACCTTCCTTCTCAATGAAGAATGCAGACACCTTCATAGAGAAATGTTACATTGAGAAAGTGTTATAACAAAGTAATGTTACAAAATGGGAAAATCTGTAGACATTGTCAATAATGTGCTTTCTCACAGGGAAATAGACTGACAATAAACAAGTGGACCACATAACATCAGTCAGTACATTCATCAACAACACATTTTTATTTTGTTCACATGATGATTAAAATAGCTGTGTTCGATAGTATCCTCTTTGGTGCTGGGAATTAACTAAGGAGTACATCTTTTAACTCTCTCCAGACCTGTACACTAAGATAATCACCTCACATGTAAAACTTCCTATTCAAGCTCGTTCTTAAGGGATAACTTTTGGTTCATCTTTCATATCTCTCTATCAAAATAACCTCTCTGTGCATAAGCACAATCTATCATATAAGCGAGTTGAACAATCAACTCCACATGCCAGACTGCCGAATGGCTTGTCCTCTGTCAGCCTGAGCGTACAAGCCACTGACTGCCAACACCTCTTGGGACAGCACTGCAATATATTGCCCTTGGGAAGTGGGCTTCCATCTTTCAACAGTCAGCTACTTCAGCCTGAACTGTGCCTCGTTTGCATTACACTTTGATTGAAGAACATCAGATAATCTTTCTTTGTCTTCAGAGGGTCGCCATGCTCTTTCACGTTTCATTCCTTTGAAAAAGACTACGAGGTAGCAGCTAGCAATGTCTTTGATATCATAGCAATTCTTCACTTCCGCAAGTCCAAGACAAATACCTAATAGAAGAAAACAGACACATCTCTGACAAAACCATTCAACTACACCATGCTTTTAAATAAGACTTCTGAATCAAGAATATTACTGATAGCATCATCACTTGAGCAAAACTGAGATGGACAACATTATTTTCCATTGAAAGTTAAACAAACATATCAAAGTTGGCTGTAGTCTCACTTCCTGCTGTAAATGATCATTTCATCCTTAATATTAGCAAGTTTTTGTAACAAAAATCAGTAGCGAAAAACCCAGCATAGCGAGTCTTCAACTGAGAACTTTGTACCTCTAGATTTACAACATGTTGAAATGCATCATCATTTTAATCAGTAACAAGAGTAAACTACAAATCAAATTTGTTATGAAAAATCTGCTAAAATCATGTTTCCAAACCTGGTCAATATAGAGACTATGTAAACTAACGGACATCAAAGATAATAAATCTATTACCAGAATATAAAATCATATATATCAAATATCCCCCGAAAAGCCAAGTCAGAGTTGACAATAAGAGTCCTTTTAACAACAGTATTGCCATACAGCCCTATGCCTGAAAAGTTGACACCCTACAATATATACATACTGATCCATCAGAGGCGCTAGCCCCAACTTTGTCCCCACGGTGGTTCCAACACACTTCAAAAATTCCTCCCGTCCCACGGTAACTCTGTACTAAAGCGCCACTCTGAAAAAGGGAGATAATCAATCTGTTAGTTTCACAATTCCTTAATACCTTTAGTAAAACAAACACAAACTCCAAGCACATTGTGCAAATATGAGTAGCTTATTGAAAAATGTTGATTTAGTTTTGAGTTCATTATCAGAATTAATAAGTCCACTTTCTGAAGTAGGGATAATTAACATGCTATATGAGGTGTTAAAATCTAATTGAGAAAATGTAAATCAGATAAGCTGTGCAATTTCTTCTTGTCAGTATCAACATATAAAATTACCGACATTTTCACCTGCTTCATTTTATTTTATTTTACGACATAGATTTATAACTGAAAATGTGACTGAGACAACAAGTACTTGCGTCAAGAACTTTACCTAAAATAATCAGTATCTATGTAATTATGTAATGGTCTAACACAGGTCACCTGACCTGACAGTTGTTCAAGATTGGTTTATATTACTTTCATGTACACATTATATATATATATATCCAGCATTATCTATATATAGCCTCTGACACTTACCTGCACATTCCATATATGAACACACTTGTCAAAGGAGCCACTGGCCAGGAATTTGCCATCCGGGCTGAATGCCACACTGTAGACAGGTTCCTGGTGCTTAGTCAACGTGTGAATACATGTACCCTGCTGCACATCCCAGAGGCGCACCGTGGAATCAAACGATGCACTGCAAAATGAAACCAACAACTGGTTACATATACATGTATTGGTTTAATATGTAGACTGGAGATGAAAACTTTGCTGCTGCTGAGGTCATCACATGTACCATGGTATAGATAGGTTCAAATCTATAGCGAAGTTAAAGTTGAAATCACCTAGTACACTGTTGATGGGGATGTTAGAATCTTTAGCTCAATCTAAAGTCTAAACCCTAAGTACACTGTTGATGGGGATGTTAGAATCTTTAGCTCAATCTAAAGTCTAAACCCTAAGTACACTGTTGATGGGGATGTTTGGATCTTTAGTTCAATCTAAAGTCTAAACCCTAAGTACAGTGTTGATGGGGATGTTAGAATCTTTAGCTCAATCTAAAGTCTAAACCCTAAGTACACTGTTGATGGGGATGTTAGAATCTTTAGCTCAATCTAAAGTCTAAACCCTAAGTACACTGTTGATGGGGATGTTTGGATCTTTAGTTCAATCTAAAGTCTAAACCCTAAGTACAGTGTTGATGGGGATGTTAGAATCTTTAGCTCAATCTAAAGTCTAAACCCTAAGTACACTGTTGATGGGGATGTTAGAATCTTTAGCTCAATCTAAAGTCTAAACCCTAAGTACACTGTTGATGGGGATGTTTGGATCTTTAGCTCAATCTAAAGTCTAAACCTTTAGTACACTGTTGATGGGGATGTTAGAATCTTTAGCTCAATCTAAAGTCTAAACCCTAAGTACACTGTTGATGGGGATGTTAGAATCTTTAGCTCAATCTAAAGTCTAAACCCTAAGTACACTGTTGATGGGGATGTTTGGATCTTTAGTTCAATCTAAAGTCTAAACCCTAAGTACAGTGTTGATGGGGATGTTAGAATCTTTAGCTCAATCTAAAGTCTAAACCCTAAGTACACTGTTGATGGGGATGTTAGAATCTTTAGCTCAATCTAAAGTCTAAACCCTAAGTACAGTGTTGATGGGGATGTTAGAATCTTTAGCTCAATCTAAAGTCTAAACCCTAAGTACACTGTTGATGGGGATGTTAGAATCTTTAGCTCAATCCAAAGTCTAAACCCTAAGTACAGTGTTGATGGGGATGTTAGAATCTTTAGCTCAATCTAAAGTCTAAACCCTAAGTACAGTGTTGATGGGGATGTTTGGATCTTTAGCTCAATCTAAAGTCTAAACCCTAAGTACACTGTTGATGGGGATGTTTGGATCTTTAGCTCAATCTAAAGTCTAAACCTTTAGTACACTGTTGATGGGGATGTTAGAATCTTTAGCTCAATCTAAAGTCTAAACCCTAAGTACAGTGTTGATGGGGATGTTTGGATCTTTAGCTCAATCTAAAGTCTAAACCTTTAGTACACTGTTGATGGGGATGTTAGAATCTTTAGCTCAATCTAAAGTCTAAACCTTTAGTACACTGTTGATGGGGATGTTAGAATCTTTAGCTCAATCTAAAGTCTAAACCCTAAGTACAGTGTTGATGGGGATGTTTGGATCTTTAGCTCAATCTAAAGTCTAAACCTTTAGTACACTGTTGATGGGGATGTTAGAATCTTTAGCTCAATCTAAAGTCTAAACCCTAAGTACAGTGTTGATGGGGATGTTAGAATCTTTAGCTCAATCTAAAGTCTAAACCCTAAGTACACTGTTGATGGGGATGTTAGAATCTTTAGCTCAATCCAAAGTCTAAACCCTAAGTACAGTGTTGATGGGGATGTTAGAATCTTTAGCTCAATCTAAAGTCTAAACCCTAAGTACACTGTTGATGGGGATGTTAGAATCTTTAGCTCAATCTAAAGTCTAAACCCTAAGTACACTGTTGATGGGGATGTTTGGATCTTTAGCTCAATCTAAAGTCTAAACCTTTAGTACACTGTTGATGGGGATGTTAGAATCTTTAGCTCAATCTAAAGTCTAAACCCTAAGTACACTGTTGATGGGGATGTTAGAATCTTTAGCTCAATCTAAAGTCTAAACCCTAAGTACACTGTTGATGGGGATGTTAGAATCTTTAGCTCAATCCAAAGTCTAAACCCTAAGTACAGTGTTGATGGGGATGTTAGAATCTTTAGCTCAATCTAAAGTCTAAACCCTAAGTACACTGTTGATGGGGATGTTAGAATCTTTAGCTCAATCTAAAGTCTAAACCCTAAGTACACTGTTGATGGGGATGTTTGGATCTTTAGCTCAATCTAAAGTCTAAACCTTTAGTACACTGTTGATGGGGATGTTAGAATCTTTAGCTCAATCTAAAGTCTAAACCCTAAGTACACTGTTGATGGGGATGTTAGAATCTTTAGCTCAATCTAAAGTCTAAACCCTAAGTACACTGTTGATGGGGATGTTTGGATCTTTAGTTCAATCTAAAGTCTAAACCCTAAGTACAGTGTTGATGGGGATGTTAGAATCTTTAGCTCAATCTAAAGTCTAAACCCTAAGTACACTGTTGATGGGGATGTTAGAATCTTTAGCTCAATCTAAAGTCTAAACCCTAAGTACAGTGTTGATGGGGATGTTAGAATCTTTAGCTCAATCTAAAGTCTAAACCTTTAGTACAGTGTTGATGGGGATGTTTGGATCTTTAGCTCAATCTAAAGTCTAAACCCTAAGTACAGTGTTGATGGGGATGTTTGGATCTTTAGCTCAATCTAAAGTCTAAACCCTAAGTACACTGTTGATGGGGATGTTTGGATCTTTAGCTCAATCTAAAGTCTAAACCCTAAGTACACTGTTGATGGGGATGTTAGAATCTTTAGCTCAATCTAAAGTCTAAACCTTTAGTACAGTGTTGATGGGGATGTTTGGATCTTTAGCTCAATCTAAAGTCTAAACCTTTAGTACAGTGTTGATGGGGATGTTTGGATCTTTAGCTCAATCTAAAGTCTAAACCTTTAGTACAGTGTTGATGGGGATGTTTGGATCTTTAGCTCAATCTAAAGTCTAAACCTTTAGTACAGTGTTGATGGGGATGTTTGGATCTTTAGCTCAATCTAAAGTCTAAACCCTAAGTACAGTGTTGATGGGGATGTTTGGATCTTTAGCTCAATCTAAAGTCTAAACCCTAAGTACAGTGTTGATGGGGATGTTAGAATCTTTAGCTCAATCTAAAGTCTAAACCCTAAGTACAGTGTTGATGGGGATGTTTGGATCTTTAGCTCAATCTAAAGTCTAAACCTTTAGTACAGTGTTGATGGGGATGTTAGAATCTTTAGCTCAATCTAAAGTCTAAACCTTTAGTACAGTGTTGATGGGGATGTTTGGATCTTTAGCTCAATCTAAAGTCTAAACCTTTAGTACAGTGTTGATGGGGATGTTTGGATCTTTAGCTCAATCTAAAGTCTAAACCCTAAGTACACTGTTGATGGGGATGTTTGGATCTTTAGCTCAATCTAAAGTCTAAACCCTAAGTACAGTGTTGATGGGGATGTTTGGATCTTTAGCTCAATCTAAAGTCTAAACCTTTAGTACAGTGTTGATGGGGATGTTTGGATCTTTAGCTCAATCTAAAGTCTAAACCCTAAGTACAGTGTTGATGGGGATGTTTGGATCTTTAGCTCAATCTAAAGTCTAAACCCTAAGTACACTGTTGATGGGGATGTTTGGATCTTTAGCTCAATCTAAAGTCTAAACCTTTAGTACACTGTTGATGGGGATGTTAGAATCTTTAGCTCAATCTAAAGTCTAAACCCTAAGTACAGTGTTGATGGGGATGTTTGGATCTTTAGCTCAATCTAAAGTCTAAACCTTTAGTACAGTGTTGATGGGGATGTTTGGATCTTTAGCTCAAACTAAAGTCTAAACCCTTAGTACAGTGTTGATGGAAATGTTTGAATAGTTAGCCAAGTTCAAATGTCTAAACTGCCTACATCATTATTATTCGAACTAATGTCTGATGCTCTTATCCTCACAACAGATCATGAACAGAGATGTGAAACAGAAAAACAGGACAAGAGAAAAAGAAAAAAAAACCTTGACATATCAGAGCATCAACATGAAATCATACGATGGTGGGATAAAAATGTGATAGTTGATATTATTGAGTGTTTGGTTCCAACATCTAGGGGACCTAGTAAAACCAACAATAGATTGGATGATAGATATCAAGCACAGTTGGTCATAACTTCACAAAACCAGTGTTACATTTGATTTGTTGGTTCTTGACCCAGTGTTATCTTGATAAAATCAGTGTTACATTTGATTCATTAGTTTTCAGCACAGTAGGACACTTACCTTGACAAAATCAGTGGTACATTTGGATTGTTGGTTCCTGGCCCAGTGGGACTCCATTTGATTGTGTAGATTTCTTTGTTATGAGCTTGTAAATCATGGACACAATTGTTATGCTGCATATCCCATATCTGTGATGGAGACAAACAATCAAATTTCCTAAACAATTTGGTTGTAACAGGAAATACCAGTAAATAACTTCTTCAAAAGGAATCCAGCTTTTTCTGTTAAATATACACAGCATAATCAGACGACCTCAGAGCAAAGATCTCTTGAGAATAGAAGGCTTTGTAAAGTAAATCAGAGATTCAACTTAGGTAGAAGTGAACCAGTTAGTAGGAACAAGTCAGATTTTTTGTTGGAATATTTTGACAACTCTTCAAATCACAGGTACAACAGTATAGCAATGGAGTGCTATGTGGACTGTTGGTTTATAAATTACTCTCATTTCTGCTTCTACAAATAATACAATTAACTTCCTGATTAAGTCACCCTTATATTGAGGTACAGGACTAAATTTCAGGATGTCAAATAATCCCAAGAGTGAATTGTTTGGCCACTGCATGCTAAATATGAAAGGTGCCCATTAGCACATAGTGCGGGAAGGGGCATAACTCTTCATACACTGGGACATCAAAACAATGCTTTGGATAAGAAATGGACAAACTATCAACAGTTGTCCTCTACATAACTCTAAAAATCAGACGTTTTGGAAGGCAAACTTTGACTGTGCTCAATCTACAAAGCTAAGGTTCTAGGGAGGAAAACTTAAGCTTTGCTAACTTTACAAAAACAGATGTCATTAACAAACTTTGACTGAGCCAACTCTACTGAAGAGAAGTCTTCGGAGGCAAACTCTGACTGTACTAATTCTACAAGCTGAGGTTCTAGTTAGGCAAACTTTAACTTTGCTAATTTTACTAAGCAGAAGTCTTGGGAGACAAACATTGCTGTGCTAACTAATTGATTTATTGTTAAAACATTTTCCACTTTTCTGAGAACAATCCCCAGTTAAGACACAAGAGGAAATCTGTTGACAGGAAATAACAGAACTACAAAGACAGGAAGGATCAATATTTATGATGATTTTACAGGATAGTACAGAACAATTGGATGAATTTGCAAGATTCCTTCAGACAAATTGAAAAACATACCTTTAAAGTCATGTCGTCTGAACATGACGCTAACAGCTGACCCTGTGGGTCCCATTTTATGGCATTTACTTCATTCTGTAAAATTAAACCACATCAATTTACAGGAATTTAAGTTTGAAATTAACATGATAATCTTTCAGAAGGAATGATATTGTAGTCTCTTAACCCCATTCTCTGTACTTTGACATCATCAGTAGTTATGGATTTGCAAGTTGGAGAGTAAACCTTTTTCATATATCAAACACTATCAAGAGACCATTTTCTAAAATTCCCTAATTCATTAATATTGTTTTATCTGAAATATTGCATTTAGAGTGGATGTTAAATAATTCTTCTCAATGAATTGTCTGGTACTTTAAACTGTTACCTTTCCTAACATACAAGCTACCAGTCCCTCCTCTGTACATCTCTGCTCATATTTAAAATTTAAACCACTCTATATTTCTGTGAAGTAAAACTTTAATGTCTTACGGTATGGCCTTGGAATGTTTTGATGGGCCGGTCAACCCCTAATCGACAAACATGTATACACTGGTCTGTGGAACAGGACGCAAAAGTCGCATTCGTCTGCCAATCTACGTCCAGCGCAGGAGCTGAAATTAATTATCCATATAACAAATGTGTTTGTTCATCATTACAAAGAGACATGTATTTTGAGTAAATTTGAAGTATACATGATCCAGGAATGATATACATTAAAATTAGGAAAGTGGGACAAATACTGTATTCCAAGCAAAAGAACTGAAGTCAAATGCTTAATAAATCTTTCTCAGTAGAAGTGGTATGGTTCAAAAGGATACGGTTCCTGTTAGTGATAGGAAATCAGTTGAAATCTATAATTGATTATTGGTTAAAATCAGAAAGGTTTATCAATGTAGTTAATTGATTACATAATTGGCTGACTGTTTGTACAATATCCTTAGAAAGTGAATGAATTCTCTATTTCTGTAATATTATCTTTTATTTGTATCTTTAACGTAAAATACCTTACTTACCTAGACTTTGCATGTGAATTAATATTATTGGCAATTGGCATTTTTATCACGAGAATGAATTGCAGAAACTGAAGAAACTGAAGAAAATATTAAGGTTCTAATGACTGATTGATGAGGTTAAATTATTATCCCATCACTTGTTCTTGAAGTTATAATTCTACCTGAAGATGAAACTTTCAATTTATGTAAGATACTTTACCATTATAAAAGCATTCTTACCAGAATGAAATGAAAACTGTTGTGTACAATTCCCTGAACTGGCATCCCAGATAATAGTTGTCTGTTGAAAAAGAACAAATTTCTTTACTGAAGCTGACAACATTACAACAATTCCTGTGGATAATATTGCTGTTAAATTTTGTGCGACTTGTTCAGAACAGTGACTGGTATATTACGTCTCTAAGTTTCCTCTTTAACAACAATGACATCAATTTACCATATTTATTTTTTTTTATCAATAAATTTAGCAGTAAACTCACAGGATAGTATAAATTGAACATTCCAAACTTTGGTGTCTAAAACAGGTAATTCAATAAGTTACAGGTCATATAAAGGTCAAGTTACAGGTCATACAAAGGTTAAATTATATGATTGTTACCTTATCCACCCCAGCACTAAGGATGTAGTTTCCTCGTTTATTCCACTTCAAAGCAAATATTGGACCTTTATGTTGACCTAATGTGTTCACCAACCGACCTGTAAAAAATATGATACAATATAATCAATACTTGTGGTCATTCTTATGAGTTCTATTCTCATAATGCAAGTAGCTTCTTACAGTAGACTGATCTTTATCAGCTTTTGATCGGCGTTGACAGTAGACTGATCTTTAACAGCTTTTGATCGGCGTTGACTTTGAAGTCTGTATTTACATGTGCAGGTCAATCATGAAGATACACAAGGTAGCTGTCTGTATGTTATGTACTTGGACTTATCTCCTTTATACTTTTATATATTTTGTAAACTTGTAACAACTGATTTACAATATGACTTCTCGTTTCATTTATTTCTTTGATATTCTTTGATACATAGAAATGTGATTGCTGTTGATAAGAATCCCCATTCTAGAGACAGGTGGTAATAATATATTCCCCAATTTATCAATCATGTAATGCCAGGTATCACACAAGGAAACTGTTGTAGGTGGTATCTTTAGATAGCTCTGGGGATTATCAATGACGGTTATATCACGGTCCCCATAGATGTCAATATCATGCTTTTATTTGCTCTCTTGAAATGTCACATCAATTATAGCTAACCTCTCATCGCAATACTGTTACTTTTTGTGAAATCTCATTTTATGTTAGTAAGGACATCATGTTAATATACAATCTGAGATTTGGAATGATAAAATCTACATGAAAGTCCCAATTCCTGTACTCAAAGAATTTTGATGGGACTCATATAATTTCCAGAAATACTTAAATTTCACATTGCGTGACAAATTGTTTTTCGTAATAGAGTTGAAAAGTACTCATGAAAATAAATTGTAGATAGATCACTTTCATAAAGCAGAGCTTCTAAAGCTAAATCTCTTGTTAATGCTCACCATCTGTGCTCCATATTCTAGCATAACCATCATAGGATCCTGTAGCCAGCAATGTGCCTTCACACTGGAAAAGGAAACATCTTTATAATAAGACTATCAGGAACACAAAATTTCAGCCCCAAACTCTGCAACAGGACTCATACCCGGTTATCCATAGTTTACTGTTCAGTGGTGTATAGAATTGAAGTGATAATAAAAACTGATTTATGAAGTTTAGTGAATGAAACAGCCTTGACTTGGTTTGAAGAATTATTTGACTAGTCAAGAGTAAACATTGAGGAAAAGTGGTAATAGTTATATGTGTTAGGGTTGAAGGACAGCTTGACTCCTCAGAGTCTGAGAATGGAGAGATATTGAGGAAAACTGGTACTAGTCTAAGTGTAGAGGTTGAAGGAATATTGCTAAATAGATTCTGAGAAAAAAAGATATTGAGGACAACGGGTATGTATGTGTAAAGATTGAAGGACTACTTGGATTTGTCAGGGTTTGAGATGAATAAAATCTGTTACCTGTAACTGAGTGAGATCCGGGTATCTCTGTCAAGGGCAAAGATCATGTAACATAACCCCTACAGAGGCGTTAGCCAAGGTAAGGATGTTACAGAATTCTAGCCTGAGACTGAAATACTCCGATCTTGCTCATTTACAAGTAAGACATTTTTTCTTGCATCTACTACTCTGAAAATTATTCAATATTTCATCTAAGTTTGGCATATCCCATGGAAGCCTCAAACTACCCACACAGCCACTTCACTTTTAAAGAATGTTTGGATATTGCTGTGTAAACATTCAAGGACGCATTTACAAAACTAGAAAATGTCTGTAAGACATGAATGCCCCCGCCCCCCCATGTGAAATAATAGTGAAAGGTCCGAATGAAGTTGTTAGGTGGTATATACTGATTTGGGACGGGACGGGACGGGACGGGACGGGACGGACGGACATGGGCACCGCTACATGCCCCGGCCATAAATGGCGGGGGCATAAAAAATATTTAAGAGTGTGGGGTCACATTTTCTATTTCATTTTAAATATGATTGATTAAAAAGAATATCATTGAAATTTTAACAATGACAATACCAACATTTTTGTTGAAATGCACGGGGTGCGAGGTGAGGTGCCACCTGCACATACATGCCGATGAATACAATGATGCGTAAAAAATTCCTAGGAACACATGTAAGGGTACTAGACATATCCGGCAGGATAGAAAAATCTAGAATGGGATATTACGTGGGATATCCCTGTCTGAGGTGCGCGAAAAGAGGGATATTGAGGAAAACTGGTAGTAGACATATGTATAAGGATTGAAGGACTTTCAGACTCTGAGATAGGAGGGATCTTAACGACAACTGATACCAGATTGGTACCAGACTGATATGTGTCTGAGAAAGAAGTACTGAGGACAACTAGAGCTACTTTTTTACAAGTAGGGTATCAAGGAATATATGAGATATTTGTTCTGAAGAGGTAGGAAGACTGTATAACTTATTTAAGTTAATTCTAGAGAGATTCCCGTCTGAGTAAACTGTATACAAGGAAACATTCGGTAATTTTTTTCGTTTGCTCTCACATAAAAATCCTTTGCTTAGTTTTCCTAAATTAGAGCAAAAAAAATTTTTAAATGTATGTTTTAACATCAAAATTTAACTTTCAATTCTTATTGAAAGCTAAATCTAAGAGTCACTTTACTTGACCGAGCTATTCATAATAAATTATCTGTGATATGAAGGTTTCTGATTTGTGGTTTTTGCCTGAACTCACATTCCAGTCTAGTGATGTGACATCCTTGTTACTAGGGACCTCTGTTCCACCTTTCTGGATACAGTGACGCAGCACCAACTGATTTGCACTATTACTGTTGTCGTTCATGTTCCAGATCCGTGCGGTTGAATCCCCAGACCTGTATAAAATGGAGGCTTGAATGATGATGTAACCTGAATTAATGAATAATGACATATCCAGATCGTTCTGCACAAGGGATTCATTGATTGTATCACATGGACATGGTCCCACTATAATTTTTTAATTTAAGTTAATGATTTAGTATTTGATCATAATTGTCAAACAATTCAGATAAAACATTAACAAGACCCTGAATGTTTTAAATGATATAACAGACTGAAATCGTAATTCATTGTTAATGTTTTGTAATTTTTTATCACGATTTTTATACCTAGTTCATATCTTATGTAAAAGTTATTTTCTGAATGTTATCACAGACAGAAGATAACAAACACCAAACAAATGCTGTGTCACTTCATCACTTTGCTAAACAACAACCTGCGACTGGTTTTCGTTCAGTTACACGTCAGATGAGAAGAACACCTACCCAGATGCTAGCAGATCATTAGCAGGATTCCAAGCACAAATAAACACCTCAGATTCATGGCCACGTAGCACAGTTGCTTTACTGCTTGGGATTTCCAAACTGCCATCAACTTCCATAGACTCTGTGTGATTGGCTGTAAAATAAATAAATAAATAAATAAGTAAATAAATAAATAAATAAATAAATAAATAAATAAACAAATAAGTGTCACCTTGTTATAGGTTATGTGATGAGAAAGAATATTTTTGGTATGTCACAGAAATTGCTAAAAATCAATCAATAATTTCAAATTCCAATTATCAAACATGACAATTCTACATGTACTTGTTTTGAGAAGAGACACATTACTTGTTAATACTGTAAAATTATGATTTTGTATGAGGGATTTACATCTGTTGATTATGTGGGCACTCTTAATTCATGGATTCATATATCCATGAATTGTTTATCTTGTATAAGTAGATTTTTTGAAGATATATTTATCCATGAAATTGTCTATGAAAGAGTAAAATTTTGTGAAACCATAAAAAATTTAGCTCTTTGAAAATATATATGATTTCACAGTATTACCTGTGACAAAGATCTGTGAATAACAGGAACGTTATTAGTCAATAACATCCTAGCAGCCATTTGTTATGTTAATACTGTAGACTTTATATATACTTAGCTTTTTTATCAAATTTTATGTGGTAAATGAAAGCTGCTGGCATGTAAATCAATAAACCAAACATACAAAGCTATATATACTGACAACTAAATAAAATTCTGATTCAGTTCACTATTTAAGTTAAATATTCCAGCAGGATCTCATTAAAAAGGAGCTTTAGTAAAGTAAATCTCTTCTAGCATGACTCATGCTTTTTTTCCGGTATCTCTCTCCATGAAAAAAATATCACTCCATTTAAACCAAAAGATAAATGACGCCACAAAGCCTACACCTTGATATAGGGAAAACTGAAACAGGCTATAGTCGTAATGGAAAATTCCATTCTGTCTCAACATTACTGAAATAGACTATAGCTTCATTTCAGTTAGCTCACATTATTGAAACGGTCTATAACCTGGAAAAAAGTTATTGCACACATAAAAGCTGTGTAGGTGTCAGCTCCAGTTCACCAGCCTACCGACCCTTAAGTCAAGCAGTGAATAGACTGTCCCAGATAATCAGAGCTGTGCCTCCTATGTAATTACAGACATGGGCTGGTCTATACCTGTATGCTTGATCTATATTCTTTCCATGTTGATGTACAACAGAGGTCATGTTACTTGGTGTATTGGCAAGTTGCCAGCTCACAGGCAGTTTACAGCCAAGAGTGCTACAGTACTCCCTTCTGTTTACAGGCGGCATATTAGAAATGGCAGCTCTGTCTGAAGCCCTGGGCAATAATTAGGCATTTCCCAATCAAACCTATTAGATGAATGCTAAATTCTAAATATATAAATGTGGATGTGTGCTATTCAATGATCAATCTGCTTTTAAATGTATATCCATCCTTTCTGTATAATTTACTACCAATTTTTGCATAACTTACAATCTAGTATATATACACAAGAACGATGACTTCCTATCAAAACAACCAATCTGTCAAGGACTATACAGCTCCTGATCATTTTTGCTTCACTTGAAAATTTTTCATGGCTTTAAGATATTAATTGTGTAATTGCTTTATTGGGTGTGCAAGTTCATCCTGGCAATAGTTTGTAAGTATATTGATATTTCAAAAAAAATCTATCTTTCATTTCTTTATATACGTTCTACACTGTGTACTGGAAGTTGGATTGTCGGACACACCCTGAAGCCAGAGACAAAAAGATCCGGAATTGCTTCTGATCTTGTTACTTAGATGACAATGGTGGATTTTCTGACAAAAGCTTGGAAGCTTTTTGAAGAAAATATTGGAAAAATCGATAAATCACGAGAGCCGACAAGAATTGATGTTGATGGCTTTGCTGCAAATGCTTCTATCAAATTATGGCAAAAAAGGGTGGGCTTGTTATTCCTGAATAAATGTCATCTTCAAATTGCATTCAACCTCATGTGCTCATGATCAATCTAGAATTTGGTAACAAAATACTTTAATTCCTCAATTTTGAAATGATCATTGAAAGTACATAGTGTGAGCTTAATGAATGACAGGGCAACATAATTATGACCTGAAAATATCATAAATAACAAAGCCTCCCTCAAAAGGACAAAAATACAGAACATATCAAAATATACACTGTTTACGTGTCTAGTTAAATTTCTTTTGATAAGTATGCCATGAATTTTGTAGTGAAATGGAGAATTCAGAAGGCATTTGATACTTTGTAATGAATCAACAAAACATGATTAAAATGCACACACTTCCTATTCCACTATCCTTTAATCAGTATTAATGCAACACTATATTTACTATTAAGTGATATATCATGTAATAAGCCCACCTCCTGACATAAATCTGATGTACATTACTAGGACCTTTGCCTTTTTCATCTGGACTTATTTTAGAATAAATACAGGTACTTTCAGAAGATTGGATTATTCCCCCCTCTCCTTCCCAAACGAATCAATGTAAAACAAATTATTATAGTTGCAAAATGCACATCAAACTTATTGCATTTGAAATAAAAAACTTGAAATTATAAAGATTTTTTTAAAAAACTAATTTGTAACTGATTACCCATAAAGTACAAGAAACTTTTTTACATATATCTTATTGTACATTATACCATGACTGAAAAAAGGAAAAAAAAGTGGATGTATAAGGCTTGTATGATATATATATACCCTCTATACTCTGGGAGCTGAGTGGTTGAGTGGTGCAGTGGTAACACCAGGGCTCTCACATCCCATTTTGGGGCTGGGGCCAGGGGCCCTTAGAATTGGGAAAAAATAGCGGCGTTTTCCTTAGAATTGGGAAAACTTGGGGTCTAAATTGGGAAAAAAAGATACTATTTTGCATCAGGAATGCTCGGCCCCAAATCTGGCAGATCAAGACCCCTGAACACACTTTACTTTCACCTTACTGTCCTGGGTTCAATCCCTGAAACAGCCGTGAAAAGGTATGGGGGTTACCTGTCTGACCATGTGGGTTTTCACTGGGTACTCCAGTTTCCTCACACAGTAAGACCCCTTCACATTGCCATCTGGGCGAACAAGAGTAATTAATATAAGCTGATAGCATGTTCCACAATTTTGTAAAATGAAGTTTATATTTATGAAAGCTGAATTCCAACAAAAGAAACCTCATTTTTCTGAATCTTGTAATTTCAAGACCTTTTTAATCCAGGAAATGAGTCATATGTGGGGGGAAAAAAAGAACATTGCAAACAATGTTCATCATAATTTGATTCCTGCATTCTGTATTGATGTGTGAAGTGTCTGAACCTTTGAGATAACTAAAGGTAAAGAACCATCAGTTGGTATGACCCACTTCCTGATACTGTGCTATATATTCACTTTTCATCTTTTTTTATTTTGTGGTTGGCTGCCTGTATTTTTATATCAGGTAAATGTAAACATGTAGAACCATCCCAGATGTTCCATAACTCTTGTAACTACCCACAAGTTCTCAAGAATCTGTAGTAAATAAATCAGAGCTTTGATGTCTGGAAATACCAGCCACAAAGTCATAATACCACTTAGTCATAAATGTTATTTTACATACTCAGGGAATATTTACTAGCTGGGTGCTGTGATGCACCTGTAACGCATGATCAGTGGAAACTATTGTTAGACAAAGCTAAGTAGAAGGTTATGTACTGGAAAGTAGCAGCATTTAAGAGGATGGCTTGGAAGTCATCCATCTCATTCAAGAACTTTGAACTGAAAGAACTTGAGCAGTAGATATGCTTTATAGTGTGTTTAACCTAACGAGTAGCTGGTTCCATCTATTGACCTAAACAAGAGCCAACAAGAAAATGAACTTCATTTCTTATTTATTGTAAAAACATCTTTTCAAAATTCGTAAAATATTTTACATGTACATTAATTACAAAAAAATAACAATTTGTCATACATTAAATTCCCTATATCAACTTTTTTCATAATGCATCAGCCCTTTTAAGACCAGTTATCCCCCCTCCCCATCATTCCTTTATGATGACTTAGTTCCTCATGGTTGAAGACAAAATGATATCTTACGTCTGCTCTTATAGTTAGAGACTTGGGAAATCATAATACTGATTTCAATGAGAGTTAGGCTTATTTCTTCCTTTTATTTTTTAGATTCTAGAGACAGACCCTCAGCTGCCCTACAGTGTCTCAGATTGAAATCACTGTGAATTGGGCTGACGAACATGTCGTGTGCTACTGCTATCTTAATGTCTCAGATTGAAATCACTGTGAAACATGTCGTATGCTACTACTAGCTTAATGACTTACAAGAGATGTGCCAGGTCACACCTGTCAATACTGCTTCCTAGTCAACTTTTCTCAAACCTTGGGGATATCCTTATACAAAAACAACATTTCTCCATATATCTGAGAATAAAAAAAAGAACAAAAGGACCATGACTGTTCCACCATATATCCAGCAGTTGTAACTCACGCCTAATTATGTTTCATATTTAAGCTGCTTTAAGTCAAGGAGACCTCTATACAAACACGGACTCCAAGACAGGGGTGGGGACACAGGGTTGGGGGCCTTATCATGGAATAATGCATAAAAACGGTTTATGATTCAATAGCTATGGATGAGTAATTACCAGGCATGGACATGTTAAAGGATAATATAGTAAGTTAAACTAACCAAAAACTTTTCATCGACCAAGACCAAATCATTTAACTTTTACATAATCTAATCAAGCATGAAGGCAATTTTCTGATGGTATCCACATTTTGTAATTATATACAAGTGATCATTGAGATGGAGGTCCTTGAAATCACATGACATCTTACTGTAGTGTCTACTATGATTACATAACAATTGGGAAGAAAACAACAAAAAGCAAACAACTAGAATCTTAAAACGGGCAACTGTGATGTTCCAGAATTGAAAGAGTTAAACACAGAGTGCCAACTTATTGTTGTGCACCAATTCTCGAAGGAACATTACAACAAAATTGTCTCTGTAAATCAACATAATTGATGGAAGAGCTGCTCTGCTCCCAGAACTAGCACCATTAACATTCCTTTCCTGTGCAATTAAA